CACACACACACACACACACAAAAGCCCACGACTATATGACACTATTTTATGGAGTCCACGTCTGTACTCACCAAATTTTTTATACCCCGCCATTTTCCCTTCTTTCACTCTCGAGGATCGCTGAACATTTCTGTTCGATTCCTCGGCCCCGTTTAATATGATGAACGTATACCCCCCTTTTTCTCTTTGTCTGGTGGCCGTCTGACATGGAGACCTGACATTCTACTTGCGCAAGCGACGCCCATGCCTGCTTACCATGTTATTTGACTTCCCGTATTGCCGCAGTACAATCATGGTCCTGAGGTCAATGTCCCTGGGAAAAAAAGACTACAAGTTAACAGAGCTAGGTGACAGACTGCATTGCTCTGGGTCTGGATGTTGCAACTGGGCGTGGGATTCTCCAGCGCTGTGACTTTTGGATTTTGCTTTGACATGTCGATATGCTGCTCACCGTGGATCGGCGACTGCGGCCTATTTGCTGCGAGAATGACGTATTTATTTTCTGACATGCATATCCATCGTGGCTATTCTGTCCATTGACAGATGATGCTGGGATATGGTTTGTGTCGGCTTCAATATGTCACAAGCAGGTGACTTCCTTCCAGCGGCAAGCCAAACCTGAAGAAGCAGAATGACGAAGAGAAGAAATTCGAAGAAGAATAGAAAAAAAAGCAGAAAAGAAAAAAGAAAATGAAGAGAAAAAAAGAGAAAGCTACTGGAACGTTGATGTCGCTTCCCATCTGCTACGCAATTTACGTGATCCAGCCGGACTCCTCACTACCTACGGATACCATTCGGACACAATTCTAGGACATAGTCGAGTGACGAAAGGACGTTGCTATTTTTGGCCTATGATCAGATGTGCCAGCGCATCTCTGCCCCTTGTTTTTATCATTTTTTCTTTTTAAATTCAAGTTGACATTTCTCGCATCTGTTGTGGTGCGAAGCGATGCGAATGTCTTGATGTTGGAACTTGGCCGTGCTTCCCTCCTGTGGCTGATGAAGGGAGCGGCGAAGAGCGGCATGGAGTTGAAAAGAGTTGCCACGGTTTGTATATTAGCATTATTCGCTACATCAAATAATACAACTGCCATTGTGAAAGAAGAAGAGCGAGCGCATATACATGATACATGGTACATAAGCACTGCCCGAGGCGATCATCATGGGGTTCCGACAGGGATGCCGAAGAGCTGAAAAGACGTCTTCCGTCTTACCCTTGTTTGCCACGACTATTTGCGATGGAAGCTGCAGGCAGCAGGGCCTCGATCCTGCTAGTTGAGGCAAACTTGCATGTTGCGGCTGGCAGCAGCCCTGGCGAGGGGTTTCGAAAGGCGTGAGTGACTGCGAGTGGGAATTTCAGACTGGGGTCGGACGCATTATGCGATGCAGATGAAATGCATGCGGAGCAAGGGAGAGGCATGGCAGTGAGAGGGTGTCCAATCGGGTGGTGCTGGGGCGAGGAGCCGGTGAGATGAGTTTTTGAGGGTGAGGGGGTCTGGAGAGGCGATGTGATGTGATTGACGCGAGGATATGCGGGCTTCGATGGGGGATGTTGTACGAGTATGTATGGAGCAGTAACGGCTGTCAAATGAGAGAAAATATCCACACGAACGAGGGCATACGCGTACCTTGATTGCTTGAGTAGCTGGTTTCATCCCATGTCCATGCAGGTATGTATGCACAGCGTATACTCGTACGAGTACTATGCCCAACCCGCCGAGATGACTTGGGCTAAGAAAAGGCCGTACATATCGCGGCACGCTGGGAGGGAGCATCCTCCTGCTGTAAGCCACCTGTCATTTTTCCTGCCATCCTGAATGGATGTCTAGATTAGTTGCGGTGTGGGCTGGGCTGGAGCATCCCTGATGATCGATTTTCGTTCCCTTTTTGCAAGGAGCTGGCTATGGAGTCTGGCTGGATGTACGGATAGATGCCGAGATATCATGTGCTTGAGAAGAAACACATCTATTACGAGGATATGCGACCCGTAAAGAAGGGCGACGATGGTTATCAAGAGCCACTTGTTGTACGGAGGAAAAGTCCGGGCGCGTATGGCAGAAGCCTGGAGGACTGAAGGATTGTCTCGGGCTTTGCGAGCTGGACGCCGAAACCTTTCAGGTCGAGGTCGTGTATACGCACATGCACATGCAATGCACGCAGATTGAAAGGGCTATCCTGACCGAGTGCTGCTATGCTGTAGGGCTAAATACCTGCAGAGAGTCAGTCACCCGCTCGCGTCGTCGTTTGGGGGCGGGAGACGTGCTTCCTGCCGGCAGCCCTTGCAAACACACGCACACATACATACACACTTGCACGGTTACTGGCATCATCCGGCCTCCCATGCATCACGACAATGGCCGGGCCGCTTCATCTGGCCGCAGAAAGCCGGGCTGCATGTGACTCGTATATACTGCCCTCTGACCCTGTTGCTTGCTTTGTAGCAGAGACGGCGAACCGGTTTTTGGGTCGCAAAGACGGTTTGAGAGAGAGGAAGCGTCTAGGCTGGCTCCCGGTGCACGGGGAAGAAGGAGGGAGAGACATGCGGCGATGCTTGCCGGCGATGGTGGGAAAACGGGTGAGAGACCAGAGGTGTGGTGAATCAGGGGCGAGATCTAGCTTGGTATGATGCTCGTGGGTAGCTTGTGCTGCTGCGTAAGAGTAAGAGTGAGAGTATAAGTACAATGAGCTGGTATTGAATGGATTCGATACACGCACGATAGGATGCCTAAGCGGATGGGGGTGAAGATAGCTGCGATTATGACTAAGAGATTCTTTGTATGAAAGTGCCATATCCGTACCCAAACATTACATGTACATCAATCATCTACCAAACCAAGCGGATATTCTTTCACCGCAGGTAAAAGCAGCCATTTTGCTTCCGTCATCCCCCATCCGAACTTTGTGCTCGTGCATTGCAGCTCCAACTTGCAGCAGCTGGCCAATGGAAGCAGCCGTCAATAGCTGGCGGCAGATGCCAGATGCAGGCTGGCAAAGCGTGTACTGTACGACAAAGACAGACCCCTGGCTTCTTGTTTCCTCTCCACTTCCCGGGGGCATCTGAATCACCCTGTCAGGTTCCTCGACCCTCTCGCACATCGCTAATCTGTCGGTCGATCTACCGCTCTCTGCCTCCGCAGCCGTGAATCGGACTTACGATGCGAATAGTAGTATCAATGATACTTTTCGCAAAGGCATGGTGGCGCCGAGCTTCCCCCTCTCGTCCCGCCCATCCGCCCGCCGTGGACGCCGTTCAAGTCGCAGAGGCTGATGGAGAGAGAGAGGAGACATGACATCTTGGGCCTCGCAGCGCCATATCCCGTCTGAGGCGGCGGAAGGAATCCGGCGGCAACCTTGGCGGACGCTACGGTTCCACTCTCTAGACTTTCCCTCGATCCCTCCGCTGGACATGGAACAAGCTGCGCTGTTGGCGGCTCGTGACGCTCGTGGCAGCTCCTCGATGCGTTTTCATTTGTCCAGCGTAAGTCCAGTTGTGTCGACGCTAGCTTTCTCCTCCTCTCGACGACTCAGATCCAAGGTGGCGAGTGCACAAGCGTGCCTCCTCAGCCGTGCTTGTCGTGGTACAAGACAGGACGGGAGGAGACACGGGAAGCGCCCCTGCCAAGTTGCTGCATAGCGTCACAGCCTCCAGAGAACGGACGCAGATACATTGAGAGCGGTAGCAGAAAGTATACTAAGCCGCAAGTGCGGTAGAGGTTCTCACATGCAACGTGATGGCCGACGGGCTTTGAGACATCCATTGGTGTGTGCACGCAACTAACAGGCCAACTCTTGCTGCAAGACAGACACGGCATCCACTTCCTAACCCGCTATAGGACCAAAAAAGGGAAGAGTCGCCTGTGGGAAAACGATAGATCTCCATGTCGTCTCGCGAAGACGGCTCCGTTCTCATCGACCCCCTACCTGATGTGCCTGGCCTGTGACCGTCTGTTCCGATACCTTGACCGGTCCGTCAGTCCTAGCCGGCGCAGCTTGGTATGCTCTGGATGTTGAACATTGGAGATGCTGCGAGCTGGGGACCCACCCTCTATTTGCCAACATATTTGCACAATCAATTACGTGGTGGGCTCGGCCGGCGGAATATGACAAGTGACAGACGGTGTGCTGCCGTGGCCATATCGAGTGAGCGGAGCAGCGTCCATATGCAGGTGGGCTGTTAATCAATGGATGTCTTTTGTCATTTCAGTTTCGAGTTTGTCCATCTGGGAGGGAGATTCGAGTGTCAAGTACGCGCACACAGATCCATTCTTGAGCTCGTGGTTGTTGGCTGGTATGATGTCTTCATCGCTTGCCGCATTGAAACTTTGTTCCGCACCACAAGAGACGCCATAGTATGCACTAAATCCTTGCCTCTTCCTCCCCTTCATGATCTTCGTTTCCTCCTTCTTCACCTTGTCTTCCTAAGGGTGTCATCTGTTGCTATATGCAGCGACCCGCCTGTTCAAGTGCCAACACAAACGAGAACACACCGTTTTCTTGCCATCCGTGCAACCCTGGCAGCACCCAACTCAATTACGACGCAGGCTTCTCGTACAACAAACAATCTCGTTGTTCTTTTATTGAATCAACCAACGCAATCTGCCGGCTAAAGAGGGGCCAGAGGAGAGAAGAAAATTCACGAGTGTTTCTCTCGATCAGGAGGACGGTGGCCCGTGTACATTCCCCTACTAACACAAGTTCATTAGTCTGTATGGATCCTCCCCCCCTTCTTGTTTTCTTTTTCTTTTTCATAATGTGAATGAATTTCATGTGTTGTTGGTTGCAGAGGCAGCTCGAGCTAACGTCCGTCTCCTAGTCCCTGCCGACTAATCTTTAATACTGCCCCCATGCCAGGGAGGACTTTCCTGCCTTTCCTACCTTTCGGTTACAGAGTCCTCGACATTCCTCAAAGGCTATCCATTGATGGGAACTCGCAATTGGGCGTAGTTCCTGGGCCTTGCATTTAACAATCATCCACACCGACCCTTTTCAAAAACCCAGTCATGTGCCGACTGGTCATTTTCAGCGGCACTTGCACCACGTGCGACGAAGATCAAGTATGGGAGGATCTCACACAAGAGCTGTCATGTCTTGAGGCGAAAAACAACGGATTCTTTGGCGATTGCTCCAAAGGGGTTTTCCACGAGCAACACCACTTCGACCAGGAGTGCGACCAATGCAGCGAGGAGGACGAAGGAATCGGCGACGTCGAAGAGGCGGAGGCAGAGCAAGGCCTTGTATCTCATGGGAAGCGGGGAGCTTCGGAAGAGAGGTCAACGAGTTCGCGAAAGAAGGCCAAAACTTGAACAACAACCGATACAAACCAACCCCTTGTCACTTTGCGTCGATTGAGTCGACTGTCTTGCGAGCGAGCGCGGCGTACAACTACTTTCTTTTTCTTTTCTTTCTTCTCTCCTTGGCCAATTCAACGGTTTCTGGGCATACAGGCGCGATGGGGACAATACTGGGCGTTGATGGAGTGGAAACAGGATGTTTTGGGGCATCGGCTCTAAACATACGACCTTCACATGGTTACGATTTCTTTTTGTTTTGGGATATACACTGCCACCGGTCGACCGGCATAGCTAATAAAAGGCGGCGTTGTGGTGATTTATCGGGAACCATGGAACCTTTTACTATTTACGGAGAGAAGAGACCATCTCTGATGAAGATGGTGCTGACGGGGGACGGCTTCAACAAAACTGGGTGTGATCAATTTTGACTTATCGATACCTTTTTGTGGCACACAAGATGTCTGGGGTATTATTCACTGGCTTCGCGGTTTATACGTCTAGTTCTATCCTGAATATTTCTACATCCATGGACGAACGTCATGCTTTCCCTTGCTTTTTCTTCATCCGATCATGGCTTTGGTCTTCTCGTTACATCCACCTACCCATCCATGATCGTTTCTTGTTTTATCACATTACTCCTAGCTAGCATTTCAGCTTCCAATTCAACCTCATCCCCTCCCCAAGTCTCCTTGACTGCTTGCCAATATCGCTGGCTATCTTTCCGGACAAGCGACACATGCTCTCCACCCTCAAACCTCTCCTTGCGCACCTTGAACCCCGAGTCTTGTGCCCTCTTCGCATGGTCTTCAACGTGGCGCCAGCTGATGACGGCGTCTGCCGTGCCGTAGAGATAGGTTCTCCGAGTCTCCCTCGGGAGTAGGCTGCCTCTCCTGAGGGCTTCAGCATTGAGATTTTGAGCAGGCCGAGTGAGGCGGAGCTTGTATATCAGCCAGGCAACGGCAATGACCATGTGTACCAGCGGAGAAGTCCAGCGAGGCAGAGATTGGAGCAGAGCCCTATGTGTGCTCTCCCACACGAAATTGCCCGGGCACGAGTCGAGGCAGAGAGCATACCGAGGGATGACGAGTCTGTTACCAGCGGCGTCCCTGCCCAGCTCTTTTCTTAGCAGCTCGCGGATCCTGGCGGCCGTGCTGACGCCGCCGTTGGAAAGGATGTGCAGCAGGACTCGGGGCTTGCCGCCGTTGCTGGGGGCTGCCGTCTCCGGCTCTGCGAATTGCTTGAGGACGCGGATGGCCGGCGGGATGTGCTTGCGGGCGAGGCTCGGCCAGAAGACGTGGGAGGCGGGAGAGCGGATGAGAAGGATGCGTGATGATGGGAAGAGGGCGCGGTGCTGGGCAATGTATTTTGCTATGTGGACGTCTCGGGCTCCCATCCAGCTGAGGACTAGGATGAGTTCAGGATCGTTGGAGTTGCTGCTATTCTTGTCGACGGATGCAGCACTTGGTGGGATGTAGTATGACACGGAGGGACTTGGATGCTGCATGTAAGAAAGAGGCGGCTCCTTCTTGACAGCCAATGTTTCTTTAGACGCCATTCTCGTTTGTGTGGTTGTTGAATAAGTCGCTTTCAGAGGTGTAAAGGACGGTCTTGATCTTGAAACAGTTGAGCCACGACAGCAGCTGTGCAATGAACGGTATGGACGAGGACGAAGTTGAAGATGAAGGCGAGATCCCCCGTCTCGACCTCGGCGCTGCAGCGCGCAGCTCAAGAACGAAGCGAAAATCACATGGCGAGACTGGAGCTGGAGCTGGAGCTGGAGCGGCAACGTGGCGGCGAGGGAGGGCATTTGTGGCAGTTTATGGGCCAAAACTATGGAGATTTGGATGTTCATGCGCGGGTGGTGGTTTGGGATAAGTGTGTCGCAGAGGTAGCCCAGGTTGGCAGGAGATGCGACTGGCTGGCGAGACTTTGATAAGGGGGAGTGGGAAAGTATGTGATGGGCATGTAAAAAATGACATTGATGGTTTTTGGAGTTTGTATAATGGTTTTACGTTTTGATTTACGGGGTTTTTTTTGAGTCTTTGGGGGGGGGGGGCAATATTACATTCGAATTTGTTGGTGATGATTGAATAGCTGGCGTGTGAGTTGTATAGCCTCGGCTTAAGCGGTAGATACGGTAGACGGCAACAATTTTTTTTATACCCGGTGAAGTGCGGGTTAAGGCCGTTGAGAAGCGCAATTGGCCGGATCTGATTTGCCAATCGGGGGAGAGGGAATATTGGGGGCGACGACGGATTCGCCGTGATTTTTTGGTTACAGTATGTGGGAGTTTTCAATGGTGTGGTTTTGGAGGTTTCCTGTTTGGGTAATTGGCTGGGTTACGGAGAGTGGGATAAGGTTTGGTTTGTGGGAGGATGGGAAGAAGATTCATCGATATTATATATAGGTAGTTGGTTTTTGGAGATGTTGTTTAGTGTTTGATTCTGTAGAGTTGAGTTGTCGTTGGTGCTAGATTGTGGCATCGAACCTCTTTGCTACTCTCAGCTATCAGTAACAAAGTACGGCCGGTAACATCCTGGAATTGGACAAAACTCTCGGCGTTACTTTGTCTCGGCAAATAAGCGAAAGTTGATATACAGAGTGCAAGATGAGGTGCCACCACAAGTGACGGATCGGGATGGCAGTGCTGCATGTTGTATGTAGGTTGTATGTGATGTGCGACTGCTGCAACCTGAGGTATGACCAACTTGGGGGCCAAGACTCGACGGCGTCGTTTACGGATGAGAAGTAACTGGAGAGGGTTTACATGTAACAGAATCTAGCTCGGGTTTGTTTTAGCGTTCCTATATTGGTGGTTTGTTTGGGGAGATGTCTTGTGGAGAAAGGGGGGCTGGGAAGATGCAGCATCTCGAGATCCGAACCCGATGGCTGTGATGATGGAGTTGTACAAGGGGGGTTTCTATCAAGGGGTGTTGGACGGATGTGGGCAGCTTTTGAGATTGGGTATCAAAATTAAGCTTGAATCATCTTTTTTTTTTGTCTCAAGGTAGAGATGAGTTGGAGAGAAAATGGTATGTTTTTTGGTCGCAACGAAAGGATATAATGAGTGTGATACCGGGCTTCAACGACTACACATGAAATCCCTAACCTTTCGACAAATATGACACAGTATCCAATAGTAATCTCAAGCAGGTGACATTGATACTCGGCCGATCAGCCGTGTGTCTCGAAAGACAGAGCTATCATTACCCGTGATACAGGCAAGGGCACGAAACAAAACAAAACAAAACAGGGTCAGAGCAAACGTCTTGGCTAAAGTAGCTCTAGAGGCGGGTGTTACGCCGGGTCGTCAATATGAAGATCCAAGACAATGCAAGTTTATTGTTCAAAGTGAGTCTTATGCATGTGCTAGGATCATGTTTATAGCTTTGAGTTTGGCCAAGGTACGTGTGAGTTGTCTCTAGGTAGGCTTCGATTTGACAACTCGACTGCATCTTATTCTTCAGATTGAAGAAGGTGGCTCACCATTCTATACGGACAAATGCATAGGTACGATATATGCCACTACGAAGATGCCGCTGCAGTTTCTCCTACATCGTCCAGGATGCAACCTCGTACCAAGCAAAGCACCAACACAAGACTCGACGATATCCTTGCCGCCCAGCCACAGAAAAAGAAAGCAAACAATCACCATTTTCTTTTTATAATCATCGAGTCCGTCCGGCTCCCCTTATCCGTGACTTGCACAAAGCAACACCCGTCAGTGAAACAGGTGGCACATTTGATGCAAACAACCGTTTTCTTCTTTTTTTTTTCTCCGTGGCCAGCTGTCGAGAAGCTGCGTGTGCTTTGACCTCGACTCTCTCCCCCTTTTTTTCAATGTCCCGGCTTTCAGCTTTCTTTTTTAACCTCCATCAGTTCATGATATCAAGACAGTTTTCCTTTTACCTAAACGATTTGTCTCGCATCTTCACCTCCTCTTTTCCCCTTCATCGACCTTCGTCTCCCTCTCCTAGTTAGCCGTCACTGTTGAGCATTTGTTTCCTCCTATCCCAACTCAAACCATGGTCGCCGTGAACCTCACGCAATGGCTCATCTGCCTCCTCGGCAGCTTCGCCATCACCGCATCCTCCGCCGGCCTCCCCCAAGTCAGGCGTCACGCCCCCGACTGGGACCTCGCAAAGCCCATGAACGGCCTCACCTTCCAGCGGGCCAAAGCCGTCAAGGAGCCCAGCCAGGACCGCGCCACGATGCACTTCTCGCACCTCAAGGGCATCAAGGGAAGGCCGGGCCAGCAGCACTCGGCCGTGTCCGCGCTCAGCCGTGTGCGAGGCAGCCTCAACTCCAACTCCAACTCTCCCGGCTCTTCCTTCAAGCAGTCGTTCCAAAACGTCAGCGCCCTGACGGATGCCTCGACGCAGTACGCCATCCAGTGCGGCTGGGACGGCGTGCCCGTCTGGCTGCTCTTCGACACGGGCAGCTCCGACACGTGGGCGACCAAGACGGGCTTCAAGTGCGCGGACCTGGGCGGCGACGCGCACAGCGAGGCGGCCTGCGGCTTCTCCAAGCCGTACATTGACGGCTTCGGCCACGGGCAGATTGACGAGCTGCACTTCTACCTCAAGTACGGCTCGGGCGAGCGAATCTCGGGCCCGATGGGCTACAGCGACATCTCGTGCGGCGGCGTGACGGTGTCGAGGCAGCAGGTCGGCCTGGCCAACAGCACGTACTGGCACGGTAACAACGTCACCGTCGGCATTCTTGGCCTTGCCTATCCCGCCATCACCAGCGCCTACTACGGCGACGTCGGCGACGAGGCACCGTGGAACGCCATGAGCTACACGCCGTTCCTGACGAGCGCCATCAGCCAGGGCAGCATCGACCCTGTATTCAGCGTCGCGCTGGTCAAGAACTCGACGGACGGCGTCATTGCCTGGGGAGGGCTGCCGCCGATGGACTGGCAGTTTAGGGGGTTTGCCAAGACGGATCTGATTGTGGTGAGCTTTGTGATGTTGATGATGCTATATGATGACGGATTGATGACTGACATTGAGGCTCTGGTGGGGGATTGTAGGCAAATCTCGTCGGCCAGCCCGAGACCGCGTGGAAGTATTCGTTTTACACGATTGTGCCCGACGGCATGAAATGGGACCAGACGACGGACACGACCAAGTATCCGTACATTGTCGACACGGGCACGACGATGCTCTACCTCCCTCCCCGTGAGTGTTCCAACTCACCACTATACCCATGTACTACACGCACTGACACTCCTGCCCAGCCCTCGCCGAAGCCATCGCCAACTCGTTCCAGCCGCGCGCCGTGTACCTCTACCAATGGGGCACCTACTTCGTGCAGTGCGACGCCATCCCGCCGCACTTTGCCATCCTCATCTCGGGCGTCGAGTTCTGGATCAACCCGGCCGACCTCATCTACCAGGACCTCGTCGACCCGCTGACGGGCTACTGCGCCATTGGCGTTGCCAGCGGCGGGCCCGGGCCGTATATCCTGGGCGACGTGTTTCTGCAAAACGTCGTGGCCGTGTTTGACGTGGGGGCGGCCGAGATGCGCTTCTACGGGAGGAAGAGTGAGTGATTGAGGCTTTATTCTGGTGTAGCCGTGTAGCCTTGGTTTATGGGATGTGGTGGTATGGCATGAGTTGTACAGTAGGGGCTGTTGCTTTTTTTTCTTCTTGTCTGCTCCTAGGTATTACGTGGTTGTTGGGTTTGAAATGTCGTGAGAATTTGGGACATTTTTCATTCAAGATTTCATCTTGTTTTTTTTTTGCGGATACTTGACCGTTTTGCTTCCTCTACCGCTCTCCCTTCTTCTTGTTTCAACGTCTGACTGCGCAATGAATTGATTCGACCAGATGCGTCAAGTCAGTGTCTCATCGCAGCATCAACAAAGATGAAACGAAGAGCAATGCAAAGGAATGCAAGCCGTTGCTGAAAGGGGGCAACACGATGCGACCAGCCCAAGGCCAGGCTTATCACTATCACAGTTTCCCTGTACTGATAACACCGCGTACTTCGTAGCCCCAATCCAAAGGCCAAAAGCCAATCCACCGCCCACCCCAACAATCCGCCATTATCAGGCTCTTGCGTGCTTTTGCCCAATTGCAGAGGAGGAAAAAATTGCCAGCCTCTCCCTGCATCTTCCAAACGGTCATCAAACGAGGGCTTACCTGTTTCTTTTCTTCTTCTTCTTTTCTCTTTCTCTTGACGCTTCAGCCAAACCCCGTGAGTGATATCTATCAAGGTTCGATAAGACGACGCGGCATTTCCTTTTGCTGGGCAGCCATTGGTCACCGGGCGACGAAAAAGCATGAGAGGCGTTGCTGCTGGGCCGCCGACGGCGGTGAAATCGCCTTCGGGGAGGACGAGGGCGAATACGTGGAGTTTCAGCAAGGTGAGATGAGCATAGCAGTCTCTTTTGTCTTTGTCTTGTCTTTTGCCGATCTGGTTCAATGCGTCGTGTCGTGTCGCCTGCTTCGGTTGCAGCGTCACCCGACAGACACTGTCTGCATCTTTCTACTCTTTTTACTTTCTTACCAGCACGGGCTCCGATATGCGGACGGGATGATGGAATGAGTGGCTGCCGGTCAAGTGACTGTGAGCGAGCAAGGGAAAATAAGAGCCGTGGCGAGAGAGTGCTTGCAGATGCAGATGCAGATGCAACTGCAGACGCAGGCGGTGAAGGTTCCACCAAGCGCAGCATCAAAGTTGTATTGCATCGACAAGGCACTACAGATGAGCCAGCATGATACGCACACCGGGAGAAACATTCGGAGAGAGGAAAGACATCCGGAGAGCACAGAAACCCGGCACGGCTTCAACAGGCTAAGATTGCTCTTCGATTTGCCGACGCAGCTACGCTCAGGCCATTGCAACATACGAGATGAGCACCCGGTCCCATGATTGGTTTTCCTCTCTGCTCTTATTTCTTCTCTGCATTGTCGGATAGCCCCGGGTGAATGGCAGCCTTTGAACCGAGAAAAAAAGTGACAACTCGGCTAAGGGGCATGTTCCTGCAGAGGCGACCATTGTCCGTGGCCACGATGCCCGAAAGAGGCAATCATGGGGATGGCCCCGAGGTGGAGAGATTTGATGATTGCAGTCCATATGATGGAGGCCGACTCAGCGATTGATGCAGCAATCGTCGGACCGCTGCCATTGGGCCGCGTCCGAGAATGGCGAGATGGACGCGCGAATGGTTCGAGGACAAGGGAAGAGTTTGAACCTTGGCTCTGCTCAAACTTCATTTCACTGGCGGTCACCTGCCACCCACGAAAACGAGACGCTCGAATCGGAATCGAAATGGAGTGTCGGCCGGGACGATTCGGATGGCTGTCAGGGGCTGCACCAGAGGGCTTCCAGCGGCTTGCGGCCCCGCAACGCCCTCGCCCAGGTGCTAAGCCCCCCTAACTCGCCCAGCTGCAGGGCCTGTTTCCCGCCGTGAGCCGCCGTCTTGGAGCTCCAAATTCCCCAGAGCGGCGCCCCCTCCCCCACTGCGAGTCGCTCGGTACAGGGGGCGGAGAGCCGCCAGGCAAAGTCAACCACGCAATATGGAGTAATCGTAATTACTTCCAGCTCCGTGTTATAAGCACAAACGCATCACGGGGACAACTGGATGGGATTTGAAGGGGAAGGGGGGGTGAAGATGTACTTTACCGTACAGTGCACCTCAGGTACTCTGTACAGGTACCAGCATGCTTGGGTGCGGACAGCAACAGGTACAGGCATCAGTACAAACGAAAAGCAGCTGAGTTGAGCAACAACACAACAGGAGATGGCAGGCAATGCGGGGTGTGTGGCCGTTTGCTGCAAGATTTGAAGCCGTGGCAAGCATTGGGGGAAAATAATTGAAGAGACAGGGGATCATTTTCCACACCCCCTGGTCTTTGTATTTTTCCTTTTTCCTTCTTTGTTTCCATTTCTACATATTCCTTAATTCGGCTGCCTTGAGGACATCAGTGCGCAAGTTGGACTCGTGCTCGCTCTTGCCGAACCTGGGACTGCCTGTCGTCACTGCCCTTTGGGTCGCCTATCCGCGTGCCTCAGCTCCTTCCCCCCGGCCGGCATTTTTTCATTTATTACCAGACTACAAAGGTAGCTCCTGCCACCACCACATCAGCTCACACACACTCGCATTCACACTTGCACACACTCACACCTGCAAGCCGTCGGCTCTTCCTTCCTATTCCCATTGACAGGATAAACACCAGTCTGGGAGCTGCTTCTGCTTGGCAGGAACTACCTTACCTTTCCGAGTGCCTGCCACTGCCTATCAGGGTACTCGGCATTGCCCAACGTGGTGCGCACTTGCTCGATCCGATACGCACATACAATTACGGGTACCTTGACGATCTGGGGTATCTTGTAGTTTAGTTTGTATCTGCCGGTCACGAGCAGCCACCACCGCCAACATTTGGTACTAGGCAATACTTCTGGGTGCCGATATACCACTGGACCTGTCACGTCTTTTCAGGTTTCCTTTCTGCTCTCTTCATCATCATCGTCTTTCTTCTCTGTCACAACCACTTTTCCGTCTTCCACGGGCAATTTCGGCAGATCTGATCTGCATCACATCAGAGAGGATTCCAGGCCTTTCCTCTTTGTTTATTTTCCTCCCCTCTTCTCTCCTTTGATGAGAACAATCGGCAAAATTGCATCTTGACATTTTCTGCCTCCAATCACAGCCGCCATACGGCCTGGCGTCTTTGCCGTCGCTGCTGCGGTGCTACCCGCCCTGCAGCAATTTTTCCCCATTGGCCGTCTGCAGGCTTGCCTCGGCTGTGGGTTTTTCGTCGACCACTGAGGCTTAGTGCCCATCAGCCACTAAAGCGGCTTGACGTCGATTCTCGACTTTGGACCCTTTTGAGCTGCCTCTGCCTCTGCATCGCTCTCCCGCACACCCTCACGCGCGCAGTCTTTGAATCAACACCCCTTCACGCACTCTCCATTGCCGCGCTCCTCGTCACGCTCTGCTCGATTGGCCGTCTCTCGCCCGTTGATTGAACCTGCTCTCGGCCTCTGCAGCCACCCTCACGCAACCTACGCCTGACATCCTCTGCGTCGCTCGGCTGTCTCCCGCTTTTATCCATCAGCTGGACTTCACCTTTGCCTTCGCTCTCAAGAGGGATCCGAGGGCCAGACCGTTCTCTGCTATTGTTGTTGCCATTGCCATTGCCATTGCTGCTTCTTCTGCTGCCGCCACTGTTTCCTCTACTCCTGTTTCGCCCTCATATGTCTCAGCCGCCTCGCCGGATGCCTCTGCTATCACACCCTAAACACCGTATTCTCATACTTGATCTTACCAAGCTGCCGTTGCAGCACCGCCGGCTTCATCTTCTTGACAATGCCGTCGAAAACTAACAATGGTGTGGGGGTTCAGGTCGAGGACACAAAGATATGCGTTGTCATGGTTGGTCTCCCGGCCCGCGGCAAGAGCTACATTGCCCAGTTAGGTATGTTTACTCCATCATCGTGGTTTTGCTTCATCCTTGTTGCGAAATCATCCCCTGGTTCCGACATATTCTTATGCAGCACATGTGTCCCACCCCATGCACGTCTCCAAATGTCTACTCTTTGGCTATTTCTTCCCCTCCTCCCCTAGCGTGTAGAGTGCCTGATTTCCTCCAATTTCTCACGCACTTTCATATGAACCTCTTGAACTCTGGCTAATATTGTTTCTCCTCTGCCTGTTTGGACATACAGCCCAGAGATATCTGCAATGGCTGTCGATTCCGGCAGCGACTTTCAATGTCGGCAACTATCGGCGCAATGACGCTCCACAGCCGACCGCCGACTTCTTTGATTTTAACAATCCCGAAGGAGAGCGGAAGCGCCGTGCGGCTGCCGAGGCCGCCGTTGCTGACATGCTTGCCTGGTTCCGCACCGGCGGCGTCGTCGGCATCCTTGACGCGACCAATTCTACAAAGGAACGTCGCAAATGGGTCATGGACACGTGCACCGCTCACGGCGTTGAAGTGCTCTTTGTCGAGAGCAAATGCGATGATGAAGAGGTCATCATGGCCAATATCCGTGACGTCAAGCTAACAAGTCCCGACTACCGTGGCCAAGATCCCGAGGCCGCAGCCCAAGACTTTCGCAATCGCATCAGCCACTACGAGAAAGTGTACAAGACCATCAACGCCGACGACGATGAGGACAATTACACTTACCTCAAGCTGATGAACGTCGGCAAGCAAGTCATCATTAACCGCATTCAAGACTATCTTCAGAGTCGCATCGTCTACTACCTCATGAATCTGCATATCCGGCCACGATCAGTCTGGCTGTCAAGGGTAAGCAATCATCCCAGGCTTTCCGAAAACATCTCTCTTATTCATCTTACTAATTGCCTTTTTATCACTATTAGCACGGAGAATCTCTATATAATCTGAGTGGACGCATTGGTGGCGACATGCTGTTGTCTCCCCGAGGCGAGCTGTACGCCAAAAAGCTGCCGGAGCTTGTGCGAGAGTCTGTCGGGGTACGTTTTATGCCCCTTCCTGGTTGCGATTCATTTCTTGCCATGTGAAGCTCTCGCATTTGCCCGTTGGCAATATGAAAAATGCGTGCGTTGTAGTACCAGTGCTAACAATGAGCTATTAGGATGACCGCCCTCTTACGGTGTGGACCTCGACACTGAAACGAACCATTGCCACAGCCAGATTCCTCCCGCCGCACTACAACCAACTGCAGTGGAAAGCGCTGGACGAATTAGATTCGGGCGTGTGCGACGGTTTGACGTACCAGGAAATCAAGGATCGCTACCCCGAAGACTTTGCGGCCCGTGATGAGGACAAGTACAACTACCGATACCGCGGTGGCGAGTCTTACCGCGATGTAGTCATTCGCCTGGAGCCCATCATCATGGAACTGGAACGTAGTGAGGACATTCTCATTGTGACGCACCAGGCCGTTTTGCGCTGCATCTATGCATACTTTATGAAAAAGGACCAGGCCAAGAGCCCCTGGATGAATGTGCCGCTTCACACATTGATCAAGCTGACGCCAAGGGCGTATGGCACTGAGGAGGTTCGTTATGAGGCTCACATTCCTGCTGTGAGCACTTGGCGAGGAAAGGGAAGTACCGCTAAGCACGAGAATCCCACTCCCGAGAGCCTCTGAGCAGTCACGAGATGAGAGCTGTGGGGGGAAAGGAAGCAAGGACAGGATGAGGATATCTTGGAAGCATATAAGTTGATTATCAACTGAGAGCATACGGAGTTTGGGGGAGACTAAGAATCAGAATCGCCGGCCAGCGGCACAAAGGGCCAGTATACCATCTTATTTACGCTTGTACTCATGTGGTTATTGGATTGGAAATGGTGTATCTTGTACACGGAATGCATTGCCATCGGCCAAGGAACAAAGGGGTGAGTTTATCATTGCTTGACTCTAAATAAAATGCAATTGTTTATCCATTCCCTTCTGCCATTTGTGACTCGGCATAGGTAAGCTTGGCAGGCTCTCAATCGTTACAGAAGATTGACGGTTTGTCATGTTATTTGTGGTGGACGTATGTGTATATGTGATTCACAGCCAGCTTCAAGTATTGTTGGGTCAAACTTTGGAGGTGTCGTAAATCACTGTCAAGAGACGCTTTTGTCTAGAAAAAAGCAAATCATTGAGCATCAAGAACAATTATCAATAGCCGCTTCCCTCTCATTATTCTTCTCGAGAACACTATTCCTCTCACTTGACATCAACGTATTCAACAAGTATATGAGCGAGTTGATGATGGCGTTTTGCCCATATATCTCCATCCCCAGCTTTGCAGCCGAAATGTCGCGGCCGTTGCAACACTACGTCTTTCAACAACCCATGATGATTTCTATGCCAGCGCCGCAGTTTGTAGCGGTACAGCAGCAGCAACATCATATCACGCCCGTCGTTCCTCTTTCTACGATGATGATCATGCCTCCCCCCGTCGCCGTCATGCCCATGTCGTTGCCTCTGACAATGTCCATCTTGCCGCCGGGAGTCCCGAGCCCGCTGAGTACAGGCTTCAAGGTTGTTTACTTTGGATACGCCGCCACCGAAAGCCGTCAGCCTTGGTGCGCAATCCACGCGTCCTGGGTGAACATTGTGCCCAGCCGTGACGGACTACTGGCGGCCATTGCGTCGTGGACCGGACTCCACGGCCTGGCGATCCGGCACGCGGGGGGGAGAATCGACGCCGCCAAGGTGAAGCTGTACGTGATGCCGCGGGCAAGTTCGGGCAGAGACGGGGGGCTTCACGGGATGCGGATCGTGCCGGGGGAGGGGCTGGTGTTGCCGGCGGATGTGGTGAAGGTGGTGACGCTGGATGTTGATGAGAAGGACTGGGAGGAGGCGGTAAGGGATATCAAGAGGGAAGGGTATGAGGCGCTTGTTGCGGTGGACATGAGCGTGAGTGCTCCTGGTGGTGATGCGGTTGTGACTCCAGCTCCTGCTGCTGCTGCTGCTGCTGCTGCAACAACCACAGGCTGACAGACGGGGGCCGCATATGCAGTATCACCACCAGCATCATCGTCACAGCCGCAGTCGAAAGAGCGTCATGTTCACGAGAGCATGGAAGAAAGCATCACGGCACGTGTAGTAGTGAATCAAAAAAGGAACTTTCATAAATAAAAGCAAAAAAAAAAAAAAGCATGCGCGACTAAAAAAACACCGTCCATCGTATTCCAAAGGAGAAAAACAAAATAATGAGGCAAAAATAGAGCAAAACAAAAAAATCTCCCAATACACTATAAAAAAAACTGAGAAAGCGAAAAAATTCACCCCTTGTACATCCCTGTATTTCCAGAAGCCATAATTTTTTTGATCTTCTCCTTTTCGAAAAAAAAAAAAAACAATAGAGTAATGGAAAGCATATCGTCTTGCTTATATATCGAAATACGATCTGCATGACGAAAAACTCCGAGACGCCGGGAAGCAAGGGAGACAAAGCAGGGGGGGGAAGGCATCCTCCGTCAAACAATTGTGAGGAATAGAAAGAAAAAGGCACAGCGACGCGACTGGTTTCGAATCCCAAAGGCTCTCATCAACCGACACCTCTCTCTCTATCGCCTATTTTGTTGCCTCATCCGCCTCAAGAGCAGCCCTCTCTGATCTTGCCATTGGGGAAAATAAGATATCCTGCCCTTACTGGCTTTTGGAATCATGCTTTTATGCTGTGCTAGCCCCAGGCTGAGGGCTACACTGCTTGTAAACAGTAATAGGGACGGACAGACGAGATCTCCCAAGTTGAAATATATATGGAAAGAAAAAAAAGGGGGGTGAGGGACTTGGCCTTGGAAACGTTGAAACCACGCAAGAAAGAAAGAAATCAAGCGAGGCGCAGTAAAAAAGCAAAATCCACCAGGCAGGTCGAGTCTTCCGAGATAAAATTTATCGTACACGAGTAACTCCGTTACCCAAATTATAAGAGCCTATCCTCCTTTTCTCTCCCGCCAGCGCCAACACAACTCTAAAGTTCCCTTCGCTAAACTGTCGCACAACGTTGCAAGACCCAAAACGCCTCATCTCATGGCGTCTACTCCGTATATATCGTCATGTAGAGAGCCGAACAAGCGTTGGAAAAGGAAAAGAGCACTGGGTCCTTAAGGCTGAGGCCGCGTCAATCAACAATGCTTCCCACTCAGCGTGTCCAACTTGCTCTCTGGGTCTTGTTCATTGCCAACATATGCACGCACCAACCGCTGGGTATCAATCCACCGACACAAAGGGACGTGCGGGAAGCACGGCGTTTTCAAACAGCTAGCAAAGACACGCATACTGCCACGGCGGTAAGTATGCTGTCCCAGTTTCTCTCTTTTGTAAACCAGAGCTTTTTCCAACTTGTCCAATATCAATCAAGAAAGGCCAACATAAACCAAAAAGTACTTGTAAAAAGCATAAAAAAAGGATTCAAGCAAGAGACGCCACGCCACCATGCTGCATGATGATTAGGGACATGAAAATAAAAAATGGACGTGATGCGTGCTACGGCATTGTGTGAGCCGTAGGCAGTCCAACAACGTAAATCGTCTACCACACACCGCACCTCACGTCGCGCTGCCTTTCATGCGTTTCGCCATTCGGGGGGTTTGAGGCTTGCCCCTCTGTATCCCATTCACCTGGCCGGAACCCGGCGCGGCGGAATCGTCTTCAACCTTGACGGTAGATGGTCGGCGGCGCTTGTTGGAAGCTGGTGATGTGTTTGCACTCGGCCCACTTGAACTTGTCCCCTGCTGGCTTGGCTGGAGCTGCATGCCGGGTGCTTGGCCGGGCGCAGGGCTGCCAATGTGAGGCGATCCAGGCAGGTTCATGTGCACTGCCGCGGGACTGGCTCCCATTGGAAATTGCCCAAAGCTGGGTGTCCTTGGCCCTTGCGCCATGGCCTGCCCATTCATTATCGGCGTTGCACTGTTGATCTGAGTTGCTACGTATTGCTCAAGAGCGCCGTAGGGACTCAGGCCAGGGTTGGAGTGGTAGAACCCAAACAAGGGGTTCATCTGGCCCATGACTTCTACAATCTACGCAACTAGTTAGCCTCTCCCTTTCCCTCTCGCCCATAGCCCGTATTCACATACCTCGAGGAACTGATGCACAGCCTCTGTGACTCCCTTGCTGTTAACTGCCGAGTCTGGGAGATCGACCAGAACTCCGGGCGGCTCCTTCTGAGGAGACTTGAGCTGCCGAGATTTTCCCTTCTTGGACATTTCGGGTGACTGTTTGCCATCCATCGTATTTAGGCTCCGCCATTCCTTAACCCACTCGTGTGCAGGCTTTGCAGCTTCGATTACATGTTTCCGGGAGACGTATTCTTCATGCCTTGTGGTGAGGAACTCAAATAATTCTATCTTCTGTTCGGCATCAAATTGAGCGCGCAGTGTACCCGTGGCCACGAGCTGAACACAAGCCAGGTTAGCAATGCGAGTAAATGAAACAGACGAGGCTATATGGCCAATGTAGGGGAAGAACATACATGTGATCCCGTCTCATACCAGTAGACGAAGCTAGCCCTGGGGTTCTCGATACAGTAGCAATCTCCCGGCAGTGGCCTATCACTACTACCGCTGTCGAGGATAAGCTGCATACTCTTGACGCCGCTGCTGTAGTTGGTGTGGAAGAAGCGAGCAATTGCTGGGTACGCAATTTCATATTGTTTATCTGGTGAATCTTCGGACTCGCCAACGTGTAATGAAAACCGGAAGACGCCATTGGGTGATGAGAAGAATTGGGCTACAAATCTATTCCAATATGACAGGTCGTCTTTGCTCTTCGCTCCCTAAGCAGTCGCGTCAGTAATCAAAGCCCCCCTTTGAGCAATTCGGAAAGAAGCTTACAGGGAAGCCGCTTAGGCGTTCGCCAAACTGCATCAGTTTCAAGAGGCATCGGGTCTTCATCCCTTCTCTCAGCTGCTGCTGCATCATAGAGTTGGCCATGAGCTGCTGGGTAGCAGCGGCGGCCATCTGAGCTTGGTTCGGTGCCTGAGCTTGCTGGGGTTGGGGTTGGCCCTGCGGGATCTGGTTTGCGTGGACGGGTGTCGGCGCGGGTGTCTGAGATGGTGTCTGTTGTCCTGACGGAGCCGGTGTACCGGCTTGTGAGGTTTGCTGTGGAGTTGGTTGTGACTGGGGACCTGGCTGCTGTTGCGGCTGAGGTTGAGGTTGGCCTGGCGGCTGCGGGGTCTGCTGTTGCTGCGCACCCATCTGGGTCTGAGCGCCAGCGGCCATCGGGTTCTGCTGTGGCATGCCCTGCATAGATTGAGCATTCATCGCCATGTGCTGGGCCGGGTTGTGACCGCCCGACATTTGTTGATTGTGCGCCGCTTGCTGCTGTGCCTGCTGCTGCGCCTGTTGTTGCGCCTGCTGAGCCGCTTGTTGCTGGGCTGCGTGCTGTTGAAGAGCTAGCTGTTGAGCCATGATCGCCTGAGGAGTGTGCCCCTAGAGCAAGAGATGTGTAAGTAAACGGCTTGATCCTGCTAACACTGTCAAGGCATGTACGGAGGTAACTTACAGCCACATGGCCCAACCCGGCGGCAGCATTGCGTTGCCTGAATTGGTGAAGTTGCTGGGGGCTGAGCTGCATGCCCATGGGCATACCGTTCACACCAGCCGCACCCATGTTTTGGAACTGCTGGGCGAACATGGCCTGCCGCTGTTGCTGCTGATGAAGAAGTTGTTGTTGTCGAATGGCGGCCATTTGCGCGCTTGGGTTATTCATGTTGACTACGTAAATGGGGCAGGTTAGTTCCACGACATCTCTCGAGGCTCTCTTTCCGCATTCACTTACACTGTTGCAAATGCTGCTGCTGCTGGAACATTTGCTGTTGCTGCGCGGGACTTAGCTGATGGACCGCGTGCGGGCCAGGACTGGCGCCGGGCGGCATGGCACCCATCAAAGCAGGATTGACCGGGCCTCCTGGGCCGGAGACGGCAATGTGGCCGCCAGCGAACTGGTGAGGCATTCCGGCGGGCGCGCCTTGCTGGCCCGCGTTGGGAGGCATGCCAGGACCGCCCATGGGATGCCCTGCGACTCCCGGATGCCCCATGGCAGGGTGCCCCGCGAAGTTGGGGCCCATACTTGTAGCCATCATCTCTAGTTGAGGTCGGCTATCCACAGCGTGGATATCGACAAGCGCCCGTAGACACTATCGCGAGAGCATACGACGGAGGTTGTGTGAGAGGTTGCGCGCGCCGTCGAGATGGAGAGAGCCCGCTTGACGATTGCTGTCGGTTGAGATGGCTCTGTTGTCGTCTCGTTCCGTTCTTCTTTGGAAGTTCGCGTCGCGGCAACGAGAAAGCGTGGATTACGGGGGAGTAGGCGGTGGAGACGGCTGCACCGTACCCAGAGCGTCCAGGAAAAATTGGGAGGGAAGGAATATCGATCGAAGGCGCAGATCCGTGTCGGAAATAAAAACCCGAATCTATGGCGAGAAGAAGCGACGAGGCGTGCAGTGGCGACGATGCATCGGCAGCAGTTAATGCGATCCGATGGGTAGTTGGTGGTGCGATGCGTGATACCACACCAGCCCGACTCAAGACGTCTGCGACGGGTGACAAATAACAGCTCTAGCGGCTGAGTGGGCAGCAGGCAGGGGAATAAGCCCAAAGGAGAAGTGACTTTTTGTTCGGGGATAGTAGATGGGAGGCGCTGTAAGCAAAAGGAAACGAGAGAAGAGAGGCTGGCAGATGGGACGCGATGCAGGGCGCGAAGACCAGAAAATATCTCCCCGACCGAGATCCAACGGGATTCTGCAGAGCCAGCTCCAGCCTAGTCCAAGGCAACCGACCCAACCGGACTGTTTGGCAAAAAGGCGAGGAAAATTGCCCAGCGCAACTCCCAGCACTGTCCCCCACAGGAACGGGGATGAGGCAAAGGGACGAAGACGAGGAGCAGATAAGAGGGCAAGTGAAGACGGGAATGGAATCCAGAGACAGAGAGACAAAAGGCAGAACCGGAATCAGAATCAGAATCAGTTGTGTCGGGTCCCAGGCCGTCTGGCGAGACGAAAGACGTCGCAGTGCAGGCAAGGCGTCGATAATGCCTGCGGGAGCGAGACGGCGTTGGATCTTTGCTGCGTGGGTATGAGTGGGTGACCGCGAGTGACCAGGGGAGCGAGAGGTCCAGGGGACGGCGGTGGGGCTTATGCAGCTATCCCGTACGAGAGCCCCGCTTCTGACGATGGGCAATCAAAAGGCAGCGAGAAGCGGATTTTTGGGGTGCTGACCTGGTGCAGCCAGAGGTTTTGCAAGTAGCGCGGTGAGATGGGCAAGATACATGTACCTAGGTACTAACTCAGATACAGAGACGGAGGAGAGGAAGATGAATGAAAATATAGCAGCTCAACATTGATCATTCTTTCTTTTCCCCACTCTTTTCTTTTTTTTTGTCTCTTTTTTTTTTTCTTTTTTTTTTCACTCAAAGCAAAAGGTGTGGAGAGAATGGTATGCCGTATGTGGCTCTCGACTGTAGGTACCTTATCTACATCTTCTTATGTACCTCCACATGCTCCATTCAACAGTTCAGCCACACGTTAAGCCTCACTTTGGCATAAAAAAGACTCCGATAAAGTTCATATTATCGTGCAAAACCAGGAAATTTTTTACCGATATCAGATACACATAACTAATTTTTTCTTTCCCTTCTATCCAAAAAGAACTGCCTCGGGGACGGACGCGCCTCAAGCTTTCAATCTCTCCAAGCTAATTCTTCTGCCCAACCCCAAAATGGGTGGCTGGGCCCGTTTGCCAATTCTCATTTATAGCATTCGCTACCTCTGTAACGGGGCGAAGCACGCGCTAGCAATCACCGCTAGCATCACTGTATGCCTATAAGCGATGATCCGGCATCTCTTTTCTGCATGCCTGCGAGACGGAATACCTGGTACCTGGCAGCATCGCCCACGCCATTACCCGAAATCGTGCCTCTCCCCCAAATCTGACGCCTCAACTTTGCTCTTTTTCCTGACAAAATATCTTTGGGTAAAGACAAGGGAAGTCGGTCGGGCTTGTAAGACTCTGGAACCAACATGCCGCCTGAATACAGCCTGCCGCACTGCATTTCGATAATTATCCGCAGAGATACACCTACATGTCCATGTACCTGACCATCTCGCAACAGCCACCTACCGCTGCGCCGCATTCAGCCTTAGCAGGCCAGTTTTTCCGGTCACTGGATAACACAACACCGAGGCGCCATTTTCCGCTGCCGCCGCTAATGGCTTAAGCGGGCGGCGCCGTCACGTGAGACTTATACAGTGCAAACGGTAAGAAAATTTTGCTGGCACTGTTTGTGAATATCTTCGTCCGCCTGCGGGCTTCCGACGGAAGTTTTTTCCTTCCCTAACCTTCCTTCTTCCGCCTGCAAAATCTACACCCTTGCATCTCGGCTGTCTTGTCCCAATACCAGCAAATGATTCGAAGAGTGTGATTCTTGGCTCCCGATGATTTCTGGTTCGTTTGGAAAGGCGGCGTGGTTGCTAGGATCTGCTTGAAAATTTGCGTTTGCAAACGCGGTTTTGGTTTCATGGTAAGTTTTTTTTCCTCGTCGCGATGTCTGCTTTTTGCCCTCGCACTGGAAATTTCCATATTTCCCATTTCCCCTTTTCATGATGACACTTATTAAACGTCTTCTTTTCCCAACCGAATCGACCATGAAGAAACTTTGACTGCTCGGATCCTCAGGGTCTGTTACTTGCCAGTATACTTTGTCTGACCTTTACACTCAATTGCTCACTGCAGAATTTGTTCCCTGCTTGACCAGCTGTGCTAACGCCAAGGCAATAGATTTACAGATACATCACCATTTGCTATCCCATTTTGATCCACGATTAACCCAGCAGCCACGACAATCGTCCATGGCCATCATATGGTAAGTCTCTTTTCAATATACATACCACAGCGCTTCAACATGTGTTTTCATGATGAAATTTCCATCACTATTCGCAGTTTCCACTCGAGTTCCGATGAGCCTTTTTCTGGAACAGATGAGGGTTAATACTTCCTTGGATGTCTGATCAAACACCTATTCTTCTTCTTTTTTTCCTTATCGCAATGTTGGTTTATCATGCACTAGCTGAGCCTCAAGCTAACATTTGCAAAGTTGAGGAGGGATTCCAGAGCTTATCCGCTCATCGTACATTCCATAGAATTTCCATGAGTGACAATATATCATATTCTTCCATCTACACTGTTTGAATTCTCTTTTCTCTCGTCTCAACTGTGCCTGTGCCATCGCTTGGAGTAGTTTCGTGATGCAGCATGAAATTAGAATTCGACTTTTTAGTGGAGCCGATTTGTGCCTGAATTTTTCCAAGGACCCTTGATGCCGGTCCAAGATGAGATTAGGCCCTTTGTGGCATAGCGTAGATGGCATTATGTAATCGGTACTACTCCTCGGAGGCGTTACCCTAGAATCCTGGATGTTTGCAAATGGCATGTTGATTACGTCGCCGTGAGATAATGATCTGGAGAGTAAAGTCCATGGCAAGATATAGATGGAGACTTATGAACTTTAGCATGATTGGTTGTTGTTTCGTGGCTTGTTAATTGCAACTATCCGTTGTAGAGGCGTTTGTGAGGATCCATGGGGAATTAAGCCCAAAGAATATACCATAAATCAACATATCAATGACCGGATTGAACCAAGGCATCTTACACATCAGCCGCTACAAGACTCCAAGTAAATTGCATTTTTTTTCTCCTTAACATCATTTGGAGGTTGAGAATACACTTGATATCGTACTGCTGTAACCGTATACTCTGCCCACAAAAGAAAAACGCCATAGACACTCCCCTAAGTACTATGTAAATGCAAGCCAAATCACAGCCCGCGAAAAAAAAAAAAAAAAAACAAAAAACAAAAAAAAGCCTATGCAACTCGCACTTCTTCACGAATTTCATCTCTCCGAACTCTGCCTCCGACAATTCCCATCCTGTTGCGCCCCGTCCGCCCTCTGCCCAACCAGTTGAGCTTGAGCATCTTGCATAGCTCAACCATCTTCCGGTTGCCCTCGTCATCGACATCTCCGCCCACGCCCCCGATGCTCGAGAGCACGCTCATGCACTGGAGCATCCGGCCCACCATGTCAGCCACCTGCTTCGAATCCTCGACATTCTGCTCACGGACGCTGCTGAGGGCGCCTGACGGGGTGAAAGGACGAATCACTCCATCGCTGCCCCTGCTGCCAAGACTGACATTGCTCACAGCTCGACTGCGACTGCCAGCAGAGCCGTCTCCGAGCAGAGTGGTGCTCGTAGAGTTGTAGGAACCAACTGAAGGGTCGAGAGACATGGCCGTGCCTGGACGGGCCATGGAAAAGAAGGATTCGGGGGGTGACGCGGAGAGGCTGGGTTCCAGAGGAGGGGAGGCGAGTGCCATGTTTGCAAACGCCGAGGGCAGAAACTCGAGAGACAGGCGGGAGAATATCGTTTTAAGAGTATCGTACCGCGGCAGAATGACGGCGTCTCGGTAGGCCGTCAAGACCAGCCTTCTGACATCGAGAGCGGCAGCTGCAGGCAACACCCGTGCTTCCTGTCCGGCCGAGGGAGAGGGAGCAGTGACAACGCCGCCCCAAAAGTCGCGAGATTGTTCAGCTGTCATGATGGTGCCACAGCCTGATACCTCTAGATCAAGAGGCAGTAAGGCAGCCTGCATATACGGCAGGACTGAAGTAAAGGTAAAGAGCCACAGCTCTACCAGAGTCGGCATAAAGCGATCGTCTGGCGTTCTTCGTAGGGTTTTGTCCATGGTGGCGAAGCCCGAGGATAAAAGCTCCCTCAGGTCCTCTAGCATTTTATTCGGTGACCTCTTATGAATGCACCATTGAATATGTAGGTTGACAATACGGTTAATGTCTTCAACAGGGACACGAAGATCCTCGCCTTGGAAAATGACGAGAAGCTTTGGCTTTAGGTAATGCCAGGCATCGTCCATGGATAAATTGGTCAGCACCGATTTCCCAAAATCAATCGGGTCGAACAAGCTGCTAGACTGTTGTGACATGGATGGCAGGCTGCTGCTTCCCGGCCAATCCCCAGGGACCGATTCGCTGTCCATGCGACTGTCAGATCTCTCCGCATTTTTCTTGTCCTTCTTGGCCTTTGCAAAAGTAGAAGTGGTAGGGCCTGGACTGGCGGGAACGCTGAAGTTGTAAAGGCTGTTTGGTGCATTTGGATCGGTAGGCCTCGAGTTACTAGCAGCCGATGAGAGGGGCAAGTGGTATTCGTCTTTGAGCTTCTGTTTCTGCCTTGACAAAAAGTGATGCTTTTTCTCCTTCTCTTTGGTTTTTTCCTCTCCAGTCGTCTCGCTGGGCCGAATGGTTGCCGACGACGAGTTGTTGAGAGCATAAAACGACTGGCCACTGGGATCGGCGAGGCTGGTCGAGCTAAAGTTGCTTCGCTGTAGAGCTGACAAGGCTGAACCAATCTTGCCTGGGCTTGGCAACGCCTTTTCCTTGGTGTCCTTGGCACTAATCTTCGAAGGCCGGGAGAACAGCTTTGCCTTTGCCTTTTCCGATTTGGAGAGAGGCTTCTCTGAAATGGTGGAGGTGGAGGCCGCGGTGGGCAGAGACGGGAATGGCTGCGGTTGCGGCGATACAGACGGATCCCTGGGAGAATTGCTACTAGACCGGGGGAATACAACATTGGCCGCGGCCGTAGCAGCAGCCGAAGACTGCGATGCGGTCCCCAGCCTGTCTTGATGCGCTCCTCCTTGGGCGCTGAAAGCGGATTCTCGCGGCGCACTCGCCTCCGTGAAGCTCAGAGTGGGTGGGCTTATAGGCCCTTTGCTCCCGCTCCCTCTCCTCGCGCCTTCGGTCTCTGGGGCTGTCTGGGAGCGCTGTCGCGACTGGAGGATATTTTGATGGGACATGACGGCCGCCTGCGCAGCGATTTGGCTGGCCGACAGCCCACCAGTCGCAGAGGCCGCGGCCTGGCCGTTGTGGTTCATGCCGACTTGGGAGAGGTTGGAGGTGCTTGTGGATGGCAGGGATGGCTCAAACATGCCTTGCGTGGCGGCGTGTTTCCTCGAATGCGTTTTGAGGACGGGCGACGAAGCTCCCTGAGTTACAGATCGGGGCGCGGCCGGGCGAGGATAGGTCTGCTGGACGCTGGCGTTGCTCGAGTTGGCATGGCTGGTGGAAAACTGTTGGAATATGGGCGTGGAAGGGGTGTTGCCGCTCTGCTGCCGCGCCTTGGGGATGGTAATGACAGGCGAGCTGTCCTCGCTACTGCTGGGAGAGTCAATGCGCAGGGGAGGTGGTCGTGACGACACCGGCGTCTGGATGTCGCTAGACGAGCGAGGCATGCTTGGCAAGGGAGAGAAGCTCCCGGGAGCGCGGCCCTGGGCCCGTCCCGAGGCCGACGTTGAGGGTTGCATCTCGTTGGAATGGCGAGGGGCTCGTTACATCTTGACTGAGCCGCAGCGATTCTGGCGTCGTGTCAGGTGAGGCTCGAGATGGCCGTTGGGCCCCGCGGGCAGGATTGCTTGCAGGCCTGACGACGAGGCAATGCGAGGGTCTGGGGGACAAGGAGAAGCAAGGAAGATGAAGCCAGAAGCAAAGATGAAGAGGAAGAAGAGGTAGAGGCAGTGAGTGAGAGGCTAAAAGCCGCTGCTAATAGATAGAGGATTTGGTGGTTGGGGCGGCAAGGCAAGGCAAGGTCTCGTGGCGTTGCGGCCGGTGCTAGTGTCGCAGAGCAGCCGATCGACACACATGCATGAAGCGTCCTCACCAAGGTTTTCAGTGCTGCACGGAGTACTCGTACATGGTGTAAATTATGTACAGAGAAGCGTCTTGCAGGGCGATAACAGGAATTCTCCTAATGCATCACGAGGTGCAAATAGATGTAGATGGCAGTATTTTACCCCAGCTTGCCTTGCTCCCAAACACCAATATTAATCTCCATGAAACACACAAAGCAGCTTCAGCAGTTACCAGCAGGTACCTCATTTCCCCTCCAACAACGCCCGCACCCACAAGTACCGATGCGTGAGGCTCGGCCTAGACCCCCCCAGCTCCGCACTCAGGCTAAGGCACGGCTGATGCTTTGTGGGGCTCAACGCACTAGCCTCAAGCCCAGTATAAAATAAAAATTCGTTCGTGTCCAATTCCGGCTTTTGCTTCTCCCCAAGCATCGCCCTCTTCAACGCTGCGTTTCCATGCTACAAACGGAGAGCCTGCGCAAGCAGCCTCTCGCATCTCTTGCTCCTCGCATGTGGGAAATTCGGAGAAAGCTTCAAAGCAGGAGGAGTCTCCTTCGGGGGCTGCCTCTTGTGCTCGGTTCCAGCGTTTACCGTTGTGTTCTCGAGTCCGCCTGTGATGGCCTGGCGTCACCCCGACGTCTGCAACAGACATCAGAAATCTCAGGCCCGGGAGGCCTCGTGTGTATACCCTCTGTCGGGGGGGAAGACGCGTGGGTTTCTTTTCCCGGTGCCTATGGGAAGTCGTTGCGAAGCTTGTTGCGCAAACTTGAGTGCGATATGCAGCGTTTGTCTTGCTTCTTGCAAGATGAATCACACAATTCCGATCATTCTGTTGAGGGCGATGCTTCACCTCTTTTTTTCCTCAGGTATGGTAAATATATATACACAAACCTTACAGCTCTCGCATGTTCAAGAATTCTGCTAACGGTTCGCATCTCCTGTCGAGTTTCCATGATACGCACGTAGCGACCCTATACTGAGGTCCTGTGCTCCCTCGTAACGGCCCTCGCTTATACGGCTGCTGTTATTCTTTGTTAATGATGATAATGGTGGTGTTTCCCAATTCCATTCACCTAACTGGCTGTTGACCAGTCAATCGACTTGGACATCAGCCCTGTAGATGCATGTCCATGGCCGTCTGAGGGCTACTGTAGAGACCGGATCAATGAGTCACTCTGATTGATTCATCCCATCTACGTATAGTCTCGCCCCTGCCTCGGCAATCTCCATAATTGGCTGGAGCTGTAATGCCGTAACTTGAACACTCGCACAGCAGCTACACGCCGGCTGTTCTGTCAAAATCTACAATCTTCATTCACATACTCAGCCATCGTCGAAGATCACCACGGGGGGCATCCACCTCCCACAAAACGTATCTGTAAATTACACTATTGAACTACAATGATTGTTATCATAGATGAAGCGCTATAGCAAGCACCTTGACCGAATTTCTCTCTACTGGCCGTCCAAAACCGAGCTCAAGGCTGATACATTTTACCTTCCACCGCCACGTGATTCCTGCCCCTCCACGAAGCACCAAAGCTCTCCCAGCAACCCCACCATCCATCTTCATCTTCCCTTCAAACAAAGCAATCTACAAAGTAAAACTCCGGTTTCATCCCATCTTCTTCTCCTCGCAATGGCCCAATCAGCACCTTCAGATACCGCCCTCACGGCATCCTACTCTTCTCCCACCAACGCTCCCTTTAGCATCAACGAGTCCATCTCCGCGCCACCAGCCCTCGATACGGCCAGCAAGTCCAAATATCTCGAATCTCTACGTGCCTCCATCGGTACCGCCCAAGACCAAATCAACAAAGAGCTCACGAACCGCATGGAAGAGGATAAAGCTCGCGAAGAAGCTGCCGGCGCCGTACACACCGTAGACGACGAAAAAGAAGAGGAAAACTACGGCGAAGAAGTCCAAGAGGAGGAGGATTAAATCGCCACAATCATTCGAAACGTTTTGCAAGGCAGGACAACAAACGATTTATATAAAATCAGCGCGCCTTAGAATGTGTACAGAAGGGTATAGCCACATCATACGAACAGATAACAGCCAACCCGTTTCAGCGACTCCCAACGAAGATGAAGAGCAACCTAGCTAAGAGAATCGAGAAAAAAAAAAGGAAATATTATCCGACAACGTGAGCGTCTAATAGCCTCTAGCCCAGCTGGGCTTCCTCAAACCATCCGCTTTGGAGCCCGTTGCTCTGCTCAAACAGCCATAATGGACCACCGTGTTGTCTGTCAAAACGGCCACCACGCTCCCACCCATTCGCATCCCGCCAGCCAACTTCTTGTGGCAGACGACGCAATGCCTCTCATCTGTGATGATGACATGGCGGTTCCTACCACCCTGCCCTCCAGGCTTGCCGTCTCCCAGCTGTAATTCGGCGGCCACGGCTATACCCTCTGCTTTGCGCAAACCAGCCACGATCCGGGACTCGTTGACAAGGCTGTTCGCGGCCCGTATTCTCCCGCGGAAATATGCTTCGAGAGAACTGACAGGAAGATCGTTTGGAATTAGGCCAAGAGTTGATGTGGCGGGGAGGCGAGAGCCGTGCTTGGAAAGCAAATCCAGTGCTGGTTCGAAATTTGGCTTGTGGGGTGGAGGTGGCTGAAGGTATAGAGAAAGTAATGTATGGTATACAGACGACACGGACTCGTCCGAATCATCCGAGGGGGTTGTAGATGGGGCTTGCAATCTGTGTGCACGGTTACAATAGCTAGATGGAGGTTAGCTGTCACTGTCATCATTTCTCATGAGGATGCTCCGGCCACGTACTCTTCTGCCTTGACGTAGTCTTTCATTTTGAAGACATAAATCTCGAGTGATTGCCTATGCTGTCCCATGTTGCTTAGGACGACGGCTTGCGCTTCATAGAATGCGGGTTCTATGCATCATTAGTACCTCTCTCATCAAGCTTCAAAGATTGAATTTAAGAAAGCAAACAAATTCTCTTACCATCTTTGGGGATCAAAGCAAATGCCTTGGTGAGACTGTAGACTTGTCGAGATTCTCGCAGGAACTTGACAAATCTCTCTTCAAGGTCATCCCAATCATGGCCCCTCTCACTATTACTCAGACTTGAAACGTAGAGCTCGACAAGGCGATTGTGGAAATCCGCCGTGCTGTCGTCGAGTTCCATGATGATGTGTTCCAAGTATTGCCTCTCAAGCTTCATATCTAGGTCTTGTAAATAAGGCAAGACTTTCTCGCGCGGTAGGGTCTCCGCATTCTCCGTGTCGCCTATGAATATCTCCATGGCATATTCTGGATTCGCCTTCAAGGTCCATTTGGCATGCTCAAGGATAAGGTCGATTTCGGAGGGTGGAAGGCTTTGCAGGTATTGTATAGTCCGATCTGGGCCGTGCAAAGCTGGCGCTGCTTCGTTCGGCTTTGGTGCAGCGCCGAACTTGTGCAATAAGTCCAGTGCCGACTTGTGCAATTTCTTGCCGTGGAAGAAGTCAATTAGCTCTGTGTAGCGATTGTGTTCCAGCAGCTTCTCATTGACAACGTCTGGGTCGCAAAAGTTGGGAATGCGAAACAGAGAGCCCGCAAGCGAGGGCTGCGAGAACATGTAGGCACGGAAGAGAGTGGTATCAACCAGGCGGAAAGTTTCGCGTAGCTTTTGCTCGCGTTCCTTGTCAGACTCATTCATGGTCAGCTTCAGGAGTCGGTCTTCCGCCTCTTCCGCCGAGCTAGGCTGGTCTGTTCGCGGCTTCAATTTGCCAGTCACAGGATCAATGACACGCTGGAGGCGAGCGCGAGTCCCAGCAAGGTAGCTGTTCAGCTCCAAGACGGCCTTTGTGAGCTCTTTGCCCGAAAGTGGCTTGTCTTCTGGCACTGGTGCTTCTTTGGCGTTGTCTGAATCCTCGGTTTCCCCATCCTTTTTCGAGATGATGGAAGCGACCTCGGCTGGCTTCCGCTGCGACCCCTTGAAGTATTTGGCAAATCCTCCCACAGCGGTGGGCGACCCGATGGGCTCGTTGGTCATTTCTGGGCTATTTGATCTCGTTCCATTGATCTTTTTCGGACTTGCTTCGGTATTCTCTGGAGTTTCCTCATAGTTCGCCCACCTGGATAATTCTCCTGCAATGAGAACAGGATACATCCTCAGGACTCGTTCTGGTGGTGCATGGACATCGTCTTCATTCATCAGGTCCATCGACTGTCGATACTTCTTCTGCTTGAACAGACTCTCTGCCTTCAACATCTTGACCTCTCGCAGAGTCTCTGCCTTGTTCTTTAAGAGAGCATCCTCGAGCATTTGCAGTATGCTAATCGCTTCATCAAACTTGCCACTCTCAATGAGCTCCCCAATTTGAGAGTCATAGTCTGTGGCTCCCATTTTCCACACGCAGCGGTCACTCGAGATGTGGAATCCTTTGCCGGCATGAGCTAGGCTTACACCAGGCGGAGGAAAATGTAGCTGGGCAGCTCCAGGTAGCGTAATCGTCTGCAGGAGAGACAAAGTATCGGGATTCCGGACCTCAAGAGAGCCCTTGGAAGGAGGCTGCAGTGCAACGATATACGGGTACGAATACCCGATGGATTCAGGGGCAGATTGCCACGGTATCTGCCTCTTCTCTAAGGCCTTACCCTCGTCATTGACGAACAGCGTATTGATATCTTTGGCAAGAAGCATTTCCCCATCTGCCAACTTGGCAGCTAGTGGCTTGGGTATATAGCTCCCTAGACCCATGTATCCCATTCCTGCGCTGCTCACAGCTCCAAATCGGCTGCCTTGGCCAGACACTCCAACCGTACCCGGGCTTACAATATCCTCGACCTGCTCTGTCATGGCATCGACAATGACATAGCCTGCGTTCATGCCGCAAACGATTTTCGTCGCGCTCGCCCATGTGATTGATCGGATCGATTCGGAAAGGACCACTTCCGAGACCTCGTTACTGAGCTCGCTCTCATGCCAGCTCCATAGCAGGAGCCGCCGCTTGACAGCAACAGCCAGCCGACTGATGATTTCAGGGACACCCGTGTCGGGGTCCCTGACGATATTGGACGTGATGGCAAAGCACGACGCATTCTTGGTTCGCGAAAGGGTCTCAATGAGGTCGTAGGACTGCAGGTCGTGGAGCGATACGTGGTAGTTGGACAGGGATACGATTGTGTTTGCCTCCTTGACGATGGCCAGCTGCTCTACCGCCCGCGTCGAGAACCGTTCCACCTCGCGCAGTAAATCTGTCGGCTTGGCTACCGAATCCGCGGGGGCGTGGTCGCCGTTCTGCGGAGGAGTCGCATTTGCGGTGTGTGGAGGCGTCGAAGAGCCATTAGCGGGAAGTTCGTTGAGGCGGTAGATGCGAAGGGCGCCGTTGTTGAGCCCGACGAGGATGCGGTCGCCTGGAGACGCGGTTAAAAAAGACACGGACAGCGCAAGAGCGCATCAATGAGCAGAATGTCGGCCATACCATACGCAAGGATCGTCTCGATCTTTGACTTGTCCCGCTGCCGCAGCTCTATGATAGGACGGGCTGTAAAGGCGGAGAGCATGGCGCCGGCCAGCTCCAGGGAAGGAATGTTATCTTGTCGGGACGTGCATCAGATGACCATCGATGTGATTCGAATCTTGGCTTTTCTCCTTCTCGTCTTTCTTTATTAAAAGTCACAAAAATGCAGAATGTCGTGAAGGAAGCCGAGGTGCCTTACGGTGCCATTTTTGCCTGAAGGAGGTGCCAGAGCTATCCCACGTCAGGTGCCGCCGCTATTACTATCCCAACGACGTCAATGCACATGCGTTTGGCCTAAGCTAGCACCGAGGTCGCAACACAGTGCACAGTGCAAACGACTGCAATATATATACTGTCCAAGATAATTTTCGGGTGTCAAAAATACAAGCATTCAATTTTTTAATAAACAATTGCAGATGAGTTATAAGTTATATTCTCGTGATGCTCAACCTCAACACAACTTTCTCACCACATGTAATCTGTGAAATCCCTGTAAATCATATGCCATACAACCAACCATGCGTACAATCCAATTCTATATGCTCCGTTCGCCAATTCACACCATCACACAGCCGTCTCACCATCTAGTCCAAGCCAGCAACTTCCATAATGCCGTATCCGAGCGTCACGACAACCACCAAGGTAATCAAACTGCTTGGCACACCTCTGCTGATGAAGTGCTTCACGCTCAAGTAGCGCTGGCCGGTAGCGTCTTCCTTCATAATTGCGGCTATGCCACGTTAGTAGTCGCATTCTGAGCGGAGGGAATGGGTGTGGAAACTTACTCATGTTGGGGAAACCACTGGTAGGCAGACCCATCGCGGCGCTGCACATCAGGACACCGCCCATAACAAGGAGGTTAGGGTGCGGCTGGTCCATAGCCACGCCGACATCGTACACCAGAGGAAGGAAGATGAGAGCGGCTACTGTGTGGCTGATGAAGGTGGCAATGACAAGAATCAGGGATGAAAAGACGACGAGAACACCGTACAAACTCATACCCTCAACCCTGTGTGAGACGAGCTCAGCAAGGGTATGGAGCAGACCGGAAGATCGAACAGCTTTGCCGAGTGACAATCCGCCAGCGGCCAAGATGATGATGGTCCAGGGAAAGTTGTTGAAATCTTCCTTGGTCAAGATGCCGATGCCAAAGAAGAGAACAATAGGAATAATGGCCACAACTCCCATGTCTCCAAATACAGACTCGAGGGTATGGCTTGTGCACCACAGGACGATGGTGATGATAGTAACGATGGTGACAAACCACTGCCCAGCGCTAAATTTCTCCTTGAGAGGACGGATGGGTGCAATGGACGTCCCCTTGCCGGGTTGGAATGTAACCAGCAGAAGTAGCCAAATCAGGACGATTGAGACCACGCCGACGGGGATGACAATGAAGAACCACTGAAGCCAAGTCGGTTCTGGAGACATGATTCCCATGGCTACGACGTTTTGTGGCGACGCAATTGGCGACAGCATACCGCCAATGTTTGAAGCAAGGGCAATGCCAATGATGACGGCCTTGGACATGTTTGAATCCGATGGCAGAGTCCGCAGCATGGGCTATGATAGCAGGTCAGACGTATGAAATCAGGGAAAATCATCGCTCAGGTGATCAATTACGTACCTCAATGATAGAGAAGCAAAGTACGGGGGCAGCAACGTTGCTGATGAGCATGGACGCAAAGGCAGCAACAAACATGTTTGCAATTAGCACAGTTCTGGGCTGAGTGCCAGCCTTGCTCAAGATCAGCGTTGCAAGACGCTTGTCGATTTTGCACTTGGATAGAGCGGCAGCGAGAGTGAAGCCGCCAATCAAGAGCATAATAACGGGCGACCACATGGAAGAGAAGATGGCCGCGGTGGCTTCCTTTGAAGTCAGGCGCTTCGGGGGCTTGCTCGGATCCTCCTCGCGAACCACCCTGAGAACGACAGCTAAGAAAGGGATAAAAAGGGACGTAACGAAGAGAGGAATCGTCTGTTAACATAATTAGTAAGGATAAACAAAATCGGAAATTGAAATGCCAGTTTAACATACCTCGGTAGCCCACATCAAACTGACGAAAACGAGAAGTGCCAGGCAGTTCTGTTGCTCAGCGTTTTCCAGAATGGGAATGAACAAGAGCAGGAGGAAAGCCGCCACGGAGATGAACAGGGTGAGCACAGAGCTGTTGGAAAGCCATGATGGCAGAATGATTCTGCCAATGGGCGTTGTGATTTGCGTTTCTGCAGGTCCAGCCTCGTCGTCGCCCTGTAGTCTCTTCGGTGTGATACCAGATTCTTGTCCTAGCAGTGTTTGTCCAAACCGAGCTGCCTCAGCTCTTCGCTCAATACCGATAAGATCTCTCCAAACAGTGTTGCGTTCCCAGACAACGTGCTCACGGAGATGGGAACGCAAGTCCTTCTTGGCAAGCTCCTCGTCACCACCGAGGACCACGTCGGCGTAGGCAACCTCCATCTTGGCAATGTTTTCGTCGAGCAGCTTCTTGGTATCGGGCTTGAAGGGATATGCGGTATCGACATAGGTGCTGATGTAGGATGACCGTAGCTCTTTGTCAAGAATTTTGTCAAACTTCTTGAGGACCTTGCTGAAGCCCGTCTTGTTAAGCTGTACGTAGGACTTGAGTTCGCAAAGCTGAACATAGAGAGATATGATGCGCTTCTTTAACATGATACCGGACGAGTACAATGTCGAGCCGAAGATGAACGACTGGTCTCCGTAGTCATCGATGGTTGTGCTATACCTTCTGGACCGACCAAACTCTGAAGATGCAGTCATGTCCGGGATGCTTCCCGCGGTGCGTCTCCTACCATACTTGCCCTTGTGTCTGGTGAGGCCGGTGGTTTCGTCATCATCGGTTGCGCTGTCATCGTCCTCTGAGCCATGGCTGCGGAGGCTAGAAGGCCGAGCGTGAGTGCTTTGGGTTTCGGATTGTGTCGGGCGCAGTGTGGTGGATGTTTCGAGGGATGGGCCCTCCCCTACATCATGTAGAAGCTGGCTGACTTCCTCGAGCAACTCTCCCTCCTTGAGAGAATAAAAGGAGCATATTTTCTCCAGCTCTATGCCGAGTGATTTGCTGAAGACGTCTTCCGGCTCCTCATTCGATATCAGGGGTCGCGACTCAGCATCGCCGGCTCTCGCTTGGTGCGCATTCTTCTCGAGTTGGTATATCCTTGGAGACGCAGAGTTAGCTGATGGACGGCCAGACGTCCTAAGCTCAGAGGGGCGAGCGAGTCTTACAGCTTCTTTAGATTGCTATAGGCAATGTAATGGCTGCTCCAATCAGGAACAGCATTGAACTGGATGCTGTGGGAGAACTTCATCTCGTCTTGTGTCTCCAGCCACTGCCGTTTCAGTGCCCTTTTATCTTCTCGTTGGTGTTGACGGTCCTCGATGATGCTGCGCTCCGCAATCTCTTTGTAGTCGGCGAGCTCGTACGTGTCGGGCGACGTGGCCAATTGTACACTCCCTCCTCGCTCAAAGGCGCCGGTCGAGCGTGGATTGTCGTTGACAGCGGATGCGGTCAGGTCTGTAACAGGAACAGAGGAGGAGGGATTGCCCGGCCGCTCTGGGGGCTGAATGGTGGAAGTTGATGGTCTGGTGTGTTGTGATGGTTCGTGTGGCTGTCGAAGCCGAGGGTTGCGTTTGAGGGTCTCGTGGCTGTCGTTGGGTTGGCCCGGAAGCACTGCTCAAAGTTTGTCCACGCCGGAGCGCCAATCGACCTTTGCAACGCCTTAGTCCTGGTCTCTCCCCGTTCCGAGTCAATCCTGGACCTAATCCCAAATCCCAGCGCGATATGGGCGGCGCTACCGGACTCCAGAAAATAGTGCGGCCATTACCTTATCAAACTGGAGAGGAAATCCACGAGCTGTGACTGGCTCAGGGGCATTGAGAGTCCGGGAGTACGAGACATGTGACCTGTAGCTGACAGCCCTGCGCTAAAAGGTCACTGCTCGCTAGGGGACAGGGGGAGCCTGCAGGGAGGGCGGCCGCGGCGGAACGCACCGGGCTACAGGTGCATGGCGGCCTAGCCACAGCGTGTGTTAGTGGCCCAAGCACGCTATAAGCCATCGACTGCAGTGGTGGGAGCTTAAGGAGCTATCCCATCCATCATTCTTCATAAGGCGGGATGGATGGGAGGGGCGGGCAGATGACTTGCTCTCGAGACCTCTTTGATCGAGTCATCACGATTTTCGATTCTCAGATGCTGGTGCCTCGACTATCTATATATTCCCCTGGATGACCGCTCACATCGTCTCGGTCCCCCACGTGTTGAAATTGACTCTGGCGATTGGCTGGTATATTATAGGCATGTTCTTGTGCCCAAATGTTTCTCTCTCCCTCTACCCAAACTGAAATGCAACTTTACTTTGCTATGTACAAACATGCCTATCCTAACATCTGCTGCAGGGCGTTGATCCGATACGATTCGCTTCTCTCCACAAGCTCCTCGTGACGTCCTCTATCGACCACTTGGCCGCCCTCGACCACGAAGATCACGTCAGCCTTGCGGACTGTGTGTAGCCTGTGAGTGATGGCAATCACCGTGATGCCTCTGGCCGCCTGTTCTAGGCCTTCTTGCAGCGCCCTTTCGCTCTCTGCGTCAAGGGCACTGGTGCTTTCGTCGAGCAGCAGCAGCCGCGGCTTTCGCACTAGTGCCCTCGCAATGGCCAATCTTTGGCGCTGACCCCCAGATAATCGAGATCCGTTAGGACCACATTCTGTCTCATAGCCCTTGGGCAGCGACATGATGGTGTTGTGGATATTGGCTAGCTTGCAGGCTTCTTCAATTTCCAAGTCGGACGCCTCGTGACCTGGCACGGCACCGAGTCCCACGTTGAACTTGATGGTTCCATCAAACAGGGCACAATCCTGTGGCACTACGGCGATATCATGACGGAAATCCACTCCCTCACGAGCGCAGATGTCGACCCCGTCGATTTCGACGGCTCCACCAGTAGGGCGATACATTCTCTGAACAAGTGACATGATGGTGGACTTGCCAGCTCCCGATGGCCCCACGAGACCACAAAATTGGCCAGCCGGTATCGTAAATGACATTCCCTTGAGAATCTGGATGTGCGGCCGAGCAGGATATGCAAAGGAGACATCACGGAAAGTGATTGTGGCGCCACCACGACTTGAGTTGAGCACGCGACTTGAGACTGCGACTGGTATAGCTTCGATATCCTTCTCTCCGCGTGATGAAACGTCAGGCTCAGTGTCCTTGGCTTCAAGGCGTTTGGAGGACCCAAGATTTATGAGACTCAGGATTCGGGATGCTGCTGCTCTGGACCGCGAGACCTCGGGGGCCAACGTAAACATCTGGCCCCACAACTGGGCACTCACGAGCATGGCCATGAGAATGATGAAGAACTGAGCCTGGCTGTATTCTCCCTTTGTGATCCTGGTCGATCCCCACCAGTAGGCAAAGGCATAAATGAGGTTGCCGATACTGTTGGCGATGGCGAGCCAGAAATTGGTATAAGCACTGGCTAGAGCCATCTCCCTTTGCGGAGCCTTGAGTGCTCGACGATAAGTGTGGAGGATTTCTTCTTCGATTGAAAGCGAGGATACGGTTTTGAACGAGGTGACGGCTTCGACAGTAATGCCAAGCGCATTTGAGAATGCTCCGGCATGCTTGCGCTCAAAGCGCGAAAGGGACCGTACTTGCATGATGCCCGAACCCAGGAGTATGGGGACTGTGACCAAGCATACAATGGCAATTTTCCATGCAATAATGTGCGACAGAATAATGGCAACCAAGAAGTTGACGACAATGGAGAACATTGTGCCCATGATAGATCCGCTGAAGCCACCAACAGCAGCGGCATCTGCTGTGATGATGGATAGCAGCGAGGATGGCGAACGGCCTTCTGCCTGATGCCAACCGAGTTCTTGTTCGTACAGCGATCGGAAGGTGAGCACGCGTATTTTATAGAGGAGCTTTTCCGCAATGTAGCCAAAGCCGTACCAGCTCCCCGTGTAAGCGAACAACTCAACGACTGCCAACATGAAGAAGAGACCGCCGAAGAACTTACCTGCCCATAGAATCTGATGGGTCGAGTTGCAGGGACTTACTTTTTCGACTGTGTTGCCAAAGATGACACCTGCTGAAGAGAACGTGCCACCAACAATGACGGCGGAGGAGACGGCCAAGAGGAGCATCAACAGATGTGGTCTGAGCATGCGGCCGAGGCTCTTGATGATTGTCCAAGCTGACTGGCTGTCATCGAGTGTCTTGTCTTCTCCTGCAATCGTCTCTTGTCCGGATTCCTGAACGGTTGAAGTAGAAGCTGAGAGCTCTTCCTTTGTCGTTGGAACAGCTTCTTCTAGAGCAGATTCCTTCTCTGAGAGTATGATGTCGGCATCACCCTTGGACGTGCTCGACAGAGATGGTGTGTCATCCTGGTCTTTGGACGCCAGATTCTGTAGGCGAACCATTCCGGCATACGAGCCATCCAGGGCCATGAGCTCCAGATGAGTGCCTTGCTCAATGATTTCGCCATTGTTCATAACGATGATGTTGTCGGCGTTCTTGATTGTGGACAGGCGATGCGCGATGGCGAGAATGGTACGACCCTTGGAGATGGACTCGACCGCCTCCTGGATGCGCCGCTCGCTGGCTGAATCCAGGGATGCTGTGGCTTCATCGAGGAGAAGGATCTTGGGGTCTCGGATTAGAGCACGAGCAAATGCCAATCTCTGCCTCTGTCCTCCGCTGACGAGCTTTCCTGCGGTGCCAACAACGGTTCCATATCCGTATTCCAACCTGTCAATGAAACCTGAGGCGTCAGCCAGGGACGCAGAGTTGCGGACCATTTCAATGAGTTCAGCCATGTCCTGACTATGCGCCTGTGCGACAGTAGTCAAGTCTTGTCCCTCTCTGACCTTTGCTGCCACTTCAGCAAGCCCCTGCCCTAGGATGATGGATTGGAATTTTTGATACTTCTCCCATGGCGAATTGAATAGTCCCAGCGCGATATTTTCCAAGATTGATCGATCCAGAAGCGATGGTTCTTGTTGGACCAAGCTGATGAAGCTTCTCAAGTTTTTTACGTTCAGTTGCTTTAGGTCATGCCCATCGAGCAACACTGCTCCATCTTGAGGGTCGTAGATCCTCGTCGTCAAGCCAGCTACTGTAGATTTGCCGCTACCAGAGAGTCCGACTATAGCGGTATACTTGCCCGCGGGACAGTCAAAGGAGACATTCTTGAGAACAGGCTGATCTGGCCGGGAGATGTAGGCAAAGGTGACGTTTCGGAACGAAATCGAGGCGGCGGCAGAATCCGAGAGTTTGAGCCCGGAGTCTGATCCCGAGTCGATGATGGCTGGGGTTTCGATATCTTGCCGCAGCTTTTGGAATGCTGTGGATGCACCTCCCAACAGAGGCAAGAGAGGCGCGATTGAGCCGAAGACAACACATGCTACGTTGAGCTGTCAGTAAAGATACGAATCATCGACACTATCATTTAGAGCTTACCGTCTACAAGGAGGAATATCACGGTGTAAATCTCTCCCACCGATACGCCGCTGGGGTCGGCAATTGTCTTGACAATCTGGTGGCTACCTTGCCAAAAGGACAAGGCATTTGCCGCGTAAGCAATGAAGTAGAGGGTTCCGGCTTGGACGGCTGCGGCAAATGCTTTTTGGATGCCCTTTTTCTGAGCATTCATCATGTGGGAAGAAAACTTGGCCTCCAGGCGCGGGCCGGCACCAAAAGCCTGGACAACTGCAATGTTGGACAAGGTTTCCTGAGCAATAGACGAGGCAGATCCTATCGCATCGGACATGGCACTGGTGAATTTCGCCGTGAATGCACTCCCCAGACCGGCCATGAGGAAGAAGGCGGGGATAAGGGATAGAAGCATGGCCGCAAGCCTCCAGTTCTTGATGAAGGCGACGATGTACGCCGTCAAGAAAAAGGACGTGCAGGCGATGCAGATGCCAACCTTCTCGGAGGTACCCGACTGAACAGCTTGCACGTCTGCATTGAGGCGAGATGAAAGCTCGCCGGCCTGGCGTTGGTCGTAAAAGGTCGCGTCTTGCTGCAGCAGCGCTTGGAAGTAGCGGTCTCTGATGCGCGCTTCCAGTCGACGGCTGAAGATGCTCCAGCAGACGATGTAGATGTATATCAGGGCGAAACTGGCGATGCCGATGTAAGTCAGCTCGAGCACCTTGCTGTCGATGGAGGACTGGATTCGCGAAGCCTCGTCCGCGTCAGGGGTTTGAGCATCGCAGCTGGCGGTGTTGAGGTCGTCAACGAGCTGGCCGAAGAGGATACCCATGAGAGGAAACGGGACTCCTGCTGCCGCTGCGGAAACTGTGCCAGTGACGAGAAGGACGATGTCGATCCATGTTGGGTTGGCATAGACGAGAAGCTGGAAGTAGACGAAGAATTCCGAGATGAACTACACATGTTTTGGTGAGCATCGTCATGTCTGCAGAGACAGATTGGACTAAACCGAACTAACGTTTTTGCCTTTGTTTCGCTCTCCTTGAGCATTGGAGATGGACTCTGCCTTGGCTTCATTACCGCCTTGAGGCACTTCAGCAGCTTCAGCCACGCCATTGGAGACTGCCGTGTCGTCCTGAGCGGCCATTGCTGGCGAGTAGCGGTTTGTCGATGGAGATTCTACAAGCCGCTACACTCTCATGGTCTGCCTCAGCACATGAAGAGATGGATTTGTCTGTTGTTCAAGATGGAATCGACGCCAAAGCTACATGTAGCTGCACAGCTTCCGGCAGTTGAATGTCTATTTGCCGTCACGCGAGGTCCGCAAATCTTCTAGCTCTGTCGGCATGATCAACAAGCAGACGCGAATGGACCCGGGTAAAACTGTACTGAAGGACGCCGCCATGATGATGCCTTCTCTGCTCCCTGGAGCTGGTCCACACTCAACTCACAGCAGCTCCGGATGGGCCCTTGATGAGCCAGCAGGGTATCATTTTTTTTTCTCTTCTCTCTGGGCCACCAGTTAGTGCTGTTACGGGACGAGAAGCTCCACGACAAGACCGACAATATCCACCGCTTGGGCTCGTGAAAAGCACACAAAGTACCGTTTCGTAACTCACATGTTCCTCCATTCCTCCATCCACAGAGACACACGCCCCTCCTCGAGCGAATCCTTGTCTCGCAACTTGTACCGGTACATTGTGTGGCCCCAAAGCGGGACCTCGTTCGGATCAGATAATTTCTCTCCGCGAAGACGTCTCCACTATGCGTCCGAGGATCGGCCAGAGATAATCAAGGACCGAAACTTGGCATGGGGGAGAAACACAAGAAAGAAAGAAAAAAATTGCGTAAAGAGAACTGGGCCCCGAAAAAAATAAATACCTCTTTATCCTTGGGCCTCGGGGCAACCAAGCACGCTGAATTGCTCGGTCTTCGAGAGGTGGAGCGTCGGCCGTCCGGGGGTCCGGGATTTTCATAGCCTCACGGCCTCGGCCTCGGATCTGATAAGATGGGACGCCCTGCGAGCTGCATGAACGGAGTAACTCGGTGAATTGCGTGATGTCTGGATATAACTAGGGGGGGCAGTTTTGCTCACACCCCCCCTTTTTGGACGGGATGTTTTTCGAACTTGCACATGGTGTTTGCTCTAACGCACGGAGTAGTCCCGCTTCACTCATCTTGGCGTCGATGGCAGTGACGAAGCGACAATGATCTGCTCTGTGCCATTCTTTGCATTGAAGTCATCGAGTCCTAGCATCGGCGTCTTGACGGCTCGGAAATCGCTTCGGCAGATCGCGGCTCAAGCGGTTTCGTCGCAGCAGGCCAAGCGCTGGCGGACCACAAGCTGCGCCAGCAAACCATCTTTTCCCTCGCTCAACACTCGACCAAATACTAGCCATCGGAATCTCCTGAGCCCTGTCCTGCTCCGTGACCTTCACTGCTTCTCCCATCTCCGTCTTGCTACTGAAAGCACTGCTATTCCAGCTCACGCCATTATGGGTTCGATTCCAGAGACTACCCCTGTCGTTAGGGTCTTTATTGCTGGTGGTTCCTATGCTGGGCTCTCTGCAGCTGTCAATTTGCTTGATTTGGGTGATGGCTTGTCACCGCGTATGGCACGTGAGGCGTATACACACCACCCTAGTGTTCCGAAAGTGAATTTCCAAATCACCATTGCTGATGAGAGAGATGGTTACTGTAAGTTGTATCAATACGTCTGCATCATTCCTAGTGCTATAAGACCCAAGGAGACCCTAACACGGTGTAGATCACTTGATTGGCTCGCCATTGGCTCTGGCAGACTCAGAATACGCAAAGAAAGCCTGGGTCCAGTTCCAAGACATCCCTGGTCTGCAAACCCCCGGCGTCCAATTCGTCCAGGGCTCAGTTTCAAGCGTCGATTGCGATGCCAAGACAGCAACTGTCGTCGATAACATCACAAAAGAGCCTGTCACTCACCAGTACGACTACTTCGTCACTGCCACAGGCCTGAGGAGGGTGTGGCCGGTCGTGCCCCAGTCTTTGACTCGAAAGCAATACCTCCTCGAAGTCGAGGCGCAAATCAATGCGCTCGATGGGGCCAAAGACAGTATTCTCATTGTCGGTGGCGGTGCTGTTGGCATTGAGATGGCTGCCGAGCTGAAGCTTGTGAAGCCTCATCTCAAGGTGACTTTGGCGCATTCACGAGACAAGCTCTTGTCATCCGAGCCGCTGCCCGATGAATGCAAAGACAAGGCTTTGGACTTGGTCAAGGAATCTGGCGTCGACGTGTTGATGAGCCATCGCTTGGCTAGCTCTACCAAGGTTGAATCCACGGATGGCTCATCGAAATATGAAGTCGAGTTTACGAATGGACATGAAATGACTGCCAGCGCGGTCATCATGGCGCTCTCCAACAGCACCTCGACGGCCTCATATCTTCCTTCGTCGGCCACCGATTCCGAAGGTCTCGTCAAGATCGTGTCCAAGTAAGTTTTCACCTTGCAATTACTTTAACAACGCCTCAACAGAGCAAATCGCTAACATTTGTGCTCTCTTCTCAAGTATGAGCTTCGACCCCAGCACTCCCAACGCCGCCTCCCATTTCTGCGCCGGCGACGTAGCCAAATGGTCAGGCATCAAGCGCTGCGGCGCCGCCATGCACGGCGGACACCTCATTGCGCACAACATTCACCAGAGCGTGCTGCAGCAGATTGCGCAGCACCAGCCCAAGTTTCAGGAGCTGCCCGAGATCCCTCCCATGATTGGGTTGGCCGTGGGTAAGAATGCTGTTGCCTATGGGCCGGATGAGGGCGTAATTTCGGGACCTGAGGTGATGCAGGCATATTTCAGGGATGATTTGGGCTGGGGAAGTAAGTCACCGTATATTCCAGTTCTAACCAATCTCTTATTTTCAGCATGCTAATGAAATGATGCAGTTTGCTGGGATTGGATGCAGCTGGGAGGCCGAAAGCCGGATACCAAGGCGGAGGAGACAAGGTCTTCGTAATTCATCGGAACGGCAAGTATAGATATTGATAAATGGGTCGATGGGAGAGGTAATTGGCGTTTAGGGAGTTGGCACATTGCTTTGCATGGAAAATTCGCGAATAGAATACAGAGTAGATTTAAATGAATGTCGTGTTCAATTGTATCCTAACTAATGAAACATGCACCGTCCCGGGCAAAATCTGGCCAAGACACGGGAGGATATGCATGCGGTTATTTGGTCATTATTTACATTTAACAGAAATATCACTCTCATTTTGATGCCATAGATATCTGGATGTAGTTTGAAGGAGAATACAGGTAGCGTTGTCGTTTCTGGCACTCGACATCTGAAGTTTGCAGTGTATATCGATATGAACTTGAATTATGTTTATTATTGAAATAATTTGTAAATCTATACAATTACCCCCAATAGGCAACTATAGGCATAGATGTGAGTAAGACGATTCGCATATAACATGGTGAGATATCCAATCCCATCACCCCCCCTTTTTTTCAGTCATAACCAACGCTTAAAAGACGGTTCCCTTGACCTGCTTGTGCTGTCTCACATCAATGTTCCTCCACATTGCCGTGCCAACGACAGCCAATGATAGCACGGCAGTGGCAGCAATCAGCATCATCTTCTGGCTATCACCATAGGCCTGCTGAATAGCGATACGCTCGGGAGATCCCATCGGGTACGACAGTTGCACATCAAGACTTCCGTAGATGTCTGTGAGATTTCCTTGCGCAGACTCGGGAAGATATTGTCCCAATTTCTTAGGGAAAACGGCCTGCCACACCGCAGCGGCGACGGTAGATCCAACGGCACCACCAATAGACGATGCCATTGCCTCTACAGCCAGAACAACCGCGACATATTGGTGAGAGGTCGCTGCCATGACGGCGGTCTGCTCACAGATAACAATGGTGCCACCAGCAAAGGCAATGAAGATCTGGCACATGATAACGTATCCTGATATTAGGGGAGAATTATTAGCATGAGGTACGGTTGAGATGTTGATTAGGGGGGTGGCTGTAGTCTCACCTATGTTAACATCGGGCTGACGGAAGTGAATCATCAAGCCAACGCCGAGAATGGTGACGGGGACTCCAAAGAAGAGGCAGATGGGCTTGAACTTTCCAGTGTAACGAATGACAAGGCCAACCAAGATGGCCCACAAGCAGGAACTATTGCCTTGTTAGCGATACAATCACCCATGGAAGAGATGGGTTCTCGTCCCATACCCTATGCTATAGATGTTGGCAACATAGCTGGACTCGGTGACATCAAGACCGTTGACAACCTGGAGGAAGCTGCGGAAATAGCTGTCCCAAATATAGAAGCTGACGAAGACAGAGGCAGCGAGGATATTGGCGCCAATGACGGTGCGGTCCGTGAGAAGGGAGTAAGGGATAAACGTAACGGCCGCAAAGAATCGTTCCCAAATGGCGAAGACGACGAGAGCGACGAATCCTCCAACCAAGAGGCCGATGATGAGAGACGATTTCCATCCATTCGATTGGTAGGAGTAGATGTTGAACGGGAGGAGGAACATGGCCAGTCCTCCGGACAGAATAAGCAGTCCGATGATATCAAACTCTCGACCGTAGTGGAGCAAAGATTGTACAAAAGTTCCCTTGCTTTCTCGCGGGCGGATCACGCCGAGCTGCTTCGCCTTCTTGTTGTAGTGCATGAAGAGGAAGAAGAGCGGCAGGGTGATGACCGGAGTGATGATGGCGAAGCTACCAAACCCCCATCGGAAACCGGGTCCTTTCAAAAAGGCATCGGAGATGGGGCCGGAGATCCATGTGGTGATGATGTAGGGCGAACTACTATAGGCGAAGATGAGGCCTCTGTAAAGATGTTTCTGTTAGCCTTGTTCCAGATTTATGATGCATGGGGCACGTTGCCCAACTGACCGATTGCGCAGAGATGTTGTATCTGCGAGGAAGACGGAAAGCGAATAGTCCAAGCCGTTGTAGCCAACCCAATAGAATACCTGTGCGGCGGCGTAGGTCTCAACGTTGTTGCAGCCAGCCATCATGATCAAGCCAAGTGTTGTAAACGCGATGGAGAGAATGTAGCCCTGGGGACGGCCAAAGATGTCGAGCACCTTGGCCAAGGTCAACTTGAAGACGCCTCCTATGATGCTGCTCATGACGCTGACAGTCGGCGTAAGGGAGTGCTGCTGAAAGGCGGAGGTGACCCAGGGCGTCAGGTTTCCCGTGGTGCCTTGCTGCATGCTGTCGACAAAGTAAATCACCCAGATCATGACAAAGGCAGTGTAGAGCGCGCTCTTGGTCCAGACGGAGGTGATGGCCTCGATGTTCTGCACACCGGCCTGCGCCTTGGAATCGGGGCCGTCATCCTGGTCGGAGTCTTGAGGGCCGCCGACATTGACGTCCAGATGGCTTTTCCCAGATTCGCCGCCGTCAACGTTGTCGCGCTCGGGGGCTTTTTCGACGGCCATGACTTTGGAAGACAATGTTAGCCACCTGTTTCTAGAAGTCGAACCGCTTCAAGGCCGTCTTTGTGGTTTATATTGACCACAGCCAAGAAGGGGCTTTACTTACTGGATCCGTAATCTTGCAGCTTCAGAGCTCAACTCAACAATCGATGATCCCGACCATCAGCCGGATGAACGCCACTACTTATTGCCCTCGAGGTAACACAAGAAAGAATGCTGGCGAGTTCTAGATTTTGCCGCTGACATGGATGACGAAGAGGTGTAGACAGGGTTCGAGGATAGTTGCATGCGGCACTAGTCGTCACTACACCGACCCAATCAATCCATTGTTTCACGCCTAAAGTACACTTGATATGGATCACTTTCTTGACGATTCGGATTTCAATCTTCGTTGGGAACATGAAAAGGCCAATAAAAGGCCAGGACGTGAAGGATATGCGGCCGCCAGCACTCCATCAGTCTCCATCTCGGCCGGGGATCGAAGCACATAGCTCCAACATCCATCCTCTTAGTGCTGTTAGTTTGTGTGCAAGACGACTCGGAATGTGGCGGTTAGGCCAAGTTTCAATGTAAGAACTACTCGTACTCGTTCATCAAGTTTTTGCACGACCAACGTCCATACTGAACAAGAGGCTGGTCGGCACTTTTTGCCGCGTGGATGATGGACCTTGTGCTGCTATTTCGCAACTGGGGCAGGGTTCCATCCTTTCTCTATTCAGGCTGCCGCTTGTGTTGCCGCACTGGCAAGCAGAGACCCATCGTTTCTGTGCCGTAAAAGATTTTTGTTGCCCTCGATTGTTATCTCAAACGGGTGACACCGATCCAGTCTCAAGAAATGGAGCCCCGTCTTTTCTTTTTCTGGTGCCACTATTCCCAGTCACCATCCATCCTAGAAGTGGGTTTGAAGTTGTAATATCCTTTATAGCAATACGAACGGAGGATAACATGTCGTTGCTGTCATTGTTTCCGAAGATTGAGCCGCATGTTTAGACCTCGTTCAATCGATGCTGTATTTCATGTTCTCGAAACGGATACTCGGCATTTGTGGTGCTTCACGGATAGGGCAAAATCGCCGACGATGATCAACTTGCGTATTCAGCGACTTCCTAGGCTAGTGCCAGAATCGAGAATACGCCATGGTTGGTGGAGATTCTCCCAGTAAGGGAAACGACTCGAATTATCAGATCATGCATGTCCCAACGCGTGGATGCGTTTAGCCGCTCCGACAACCGGCCAAACTCCAATAAAGTTATCTGATCCGCCCAAAGCACAAGGATCGGGGACGCCACTCGAGCCAAACGACCCAGAAACGGCTCCAGGCACAAAAAGGACGAGGAACCGAATTATTACGAAGAATAGTGAATAGTTTTGGGGGGGAAGCCAAGGAATTGCCGAATATGGAGCATGCGAGCGAGAGGCGGAGAAGAAAAAAACTCTGCAGGTGGGAACATGAAGCCTGAGCAGATTATCTCCCACTGATTGATTAGATCCACTGATCTAGCCCCGACCCAGCAGGGTTGCATCGCCTATCCTTCGGCGGATGGACTCGGCTGGGCTAAAGCTGGTTGACTCGTCGCTTTTTCTGCCTATTCTGGACACTGGATGTACTGTACAAGCACAAACAAACGTGGGACTGGGAGGGATGGCAGGGGAGGGGGTGTGTGAGGGCAAGTCTTGGATAGTCCAGGATAGTCCAAGTTGGAGTTTTGGTCCAGCCTGCCTATTTTCCCAGCTTTGTCTCTGTACCTGTACTCGTACTGCCATGGAATGTATTTCTCCAGCTCGTACGAGCCTAGACTTAGCATGCGAGTACTGGTTGGTGCATTCTCGCTGCGTGGTGATCACCCGTCGATCCTTTCGTCGCTCACGGCAAGACAAAGTACATCCGAGCATCACCTACTGTACTTACTGTATGGCTCCCGAGGTCGTTCGTTTGCTCATGACTTCAGCTGTCTCCATGTAGGCATACACATGCTAGGGCTGGGTAAATTATGCGCATGGACCGAGTAACTATGAGGCGGAAAGGTGCGGGCATCAAGGCCCCCTTCGTCTCATTGGAAGTCTGTCGGCCGAGGCAGCTTGGCAAGCAGCCAGCTCTTTGCGGGTGAAGCTTTTCCTATAGTCGCTGTGTTGTATTTGTAGTATTTAGGTATTTTTTTGCTTTATTCTATTTTTTATCTGATTTCTTCCCTTTTGACACCTATTTGTCACTACACCTTTCATCCTAGCTTTGGATAGCCGACTTACACGGCGTCCTATTACAATCGATCCTATTGTTCTTCCTTGCTGTACCATAAACCAAAGCCGCAATGGCTGCTGTTTCTCTCTCATCAATACCCCCCGATCAAACTGTGATCAAGCTTCCTCATCCCTATCACACCGAATACACCATCCAAAAAGCCTCGGCCGAGCCAACCGCAGACAACAATGTTGAACACTATCGTCTCAACATCAAGCCCAACGCCTCTTCCGGAAAGAAGCCTCCCGTAGAGCTTCACGCTGCCCACGCCGTCTTTACTGAGCCAATTGACCTCAAATCAAGCGAGCTGCCGCCGCAGTCAAATAACAGCGCCTGGGCACGCGCCAGACGGTCACCATGCGCAACCGTGTCCTGGGATACTCTTACAGAGCGTCCTACTTTGGCGCAGGCGTGGCTGATACTCTATGTATTGTTCACCACGCGGCCTTCTACAGAAACACTGAGACTCGAGCTCACGGGCGCAAACGCCATTGTCTTGGGGCAGCAACTGAAGGACGTTGCTCTCGCCATTGACCACCCGCTCCGTCCTCAGGAGCAGCCAGGGCCATCCACAACGACAGATAGTATCGTTGTCGTGGCATTGCGATCAACGTTCTGGCAGGGCGCTGGGTCTCCTTTCGGCCCTCGACCTGTTTGGTGCCCCGAGGAATCTCCATCGGCTCTGCCCTCGTCCAACCCGTTGAACTCGTATCCCCTCACGCCTCTCCAGCATACAATGACGATAGTTTCGGCCGGCGATCCTCAAGATCCTGACCGACGCCAGCAAACGTGGCATCCGATCCGCCCTGCCAAGCCAGCTCCTGGCGCCGTCATCTATAGCCGATGGATCCCCCATCTGCAAGAGACGTTTTCGATGGTGTCGCTAGATTGGCAAGATGCTGAGCATTTGAGGCTCTTCCATGAGTGGCAGAATGATCCTCGTGTGTCGCAGGGTTGGAATGAGACGGGAACCTTGGAGCAACACCGAGAGTATCTACGAAAGATGCACGTTGATCCGCACCAAGTTGCTGTTCTGGCCAAGTGGAACGACGCCTACTTTGCATACTTTGAGATTTACTGGGCCAAGGTAAGAAAGACAAAGACCATCACAGCTCAACCTAGAGTACAGCCCCGAAGCAAGATACTAACTGGATTCAATTGCATAGGAGGATCGCCTCGGAAGCTACTACGACGCCGGGGACTTTGATCGTGGCCGCCACTCCCTCGTTGGCGACGTCCGTTTCCGCGGCCCGCACAGAGTATCGGCGTGGTGGAGCAGTCTGATGCATTACCTCTATCTGGACGATCCTCGAACCATGTATGTCGTGGGCGAGCCCAAGGACAGCAACTCAACAGTCGTCATGTACGATCTCATCCACGGCTTTGGCCTTGACAAGTTTGTCGACCTGCCGCATAAGCGCAGTGCTTTTGTGCGCTGCCACAGAGATCGCTTCTTCCAGCTTTGTCCGTTGGGCGATAATGAGAAGGCAGTTGGCGGCATGAGGATTGGGCTGGTTCCGAAGCTGTAGGTCCACGATGAAGAGGGTTTGAGCGAGTCTTTAGGATAGAGTTTCATAAGATTACATGCAGTTTGAGATGTCACTCGTCTACGAAAAGCTCAGTTATATACCTATACATACATATTCATGCACAATAAAAGTCATCGACGTCTTTGCTTTGCCAAGCAAAGAACACAGAAGCTCTCTCTATTTTAAATCATGTTCTCCATCTATATACACGTACTCTATACCACTTTTCTACAACTTTGAAGTCTTGGCCATCTTACTCAAAATCTCATCTCCCAGCTTCGCCATCTCAAACTTGCGAATCTTTCCGCTCCCTGTCAGAGGCACGTCCGCAGGCACGCCATCCTGGCCCAGCCAAAACACGTGCGCCGGGGCTTTGTGATTGCCCAGCGTCTTGCGAACCCAATCTCTGACTTCCTGGTCCGTCAACCTGTTGCCGCTGTCGCCCAGCTCCACGAACGCTCCGACAACCTCCCCGTAGTGCTTGTTCTTGAGGCCGACGACGATGGCGCGGGAAATGGAAGGATGGGCCACGAGGCGTTCTTCGATTTCTAGGGGGTAGATATTCTCGCCACCTGTGTGTACGACGAGCATTAGAATCGGGGGCTGTGACATGGAATCCTTTGCTTCATCTTACCTCTGATAATGATGTCTTTAAATCTTCCCGTGATAGAGCAGTAGCCCTCTTCGTCAAACACGGCCTCATCACCCGTATGTAGCCACAGCACTCCCGCCGCATCGCGAGCCATTGTCTCGTTCGTCTTTTCTGAATTGTTCCAGTATCCAGCCTGAAGCTGATACCCAGCGATGCAGAGCTCGCCTCGAGCGCCAATCGGCACAATGTTGCCGTCGCGATCAACAATCTTGGCCTGCGCATGCGGCATCAGTGTCCCAACCGTGGTCAATCTCCTTGTCATCGCATCATCTGTGAATGCGTTGAAGCATGTGGGTGAAGCTTCCGTGAGACCATAACTGCTAGTAAACTCTGTCATGCCAAAGCGGTTGACCAGAAGCTCCATCAAATACCGCGGAACCGGAGCGCCAGCAATGATGCCCGTGCGGAGCTTGTCGCACTTGAAGTTGGCTGGAGGCTCGGCCTGAAACAAGGAATCAAACATGGCGGGAACTCCATGGATAGCAGTGCACTCTTCGTCGGAAATGGCCCTGAGTGTGGAAGGGATGTCGAAGACCTCCGCTGGGTAGACAATCTTGCCGCCGTGAGTGACAATGGCCAGGAGGCCGAGGACAAGGCCGAAGCAGTGGAAGAGCGGCGGCGGGCAGCACAGGACGTCTGCATGCGTCAAGCGCATTCTGTCGCCGATGAATCGAGAATTGTTGACCAGATTACTACAGAAAGCGAAAAGTCAGCATGGGCGAGACAAAGATGGTAGAGAGCAGTGGAGGCCTTGAAACATACTGATGTGTCAACATTGCTGCCTTTGGTAAGCCCGTTGTGCCGCTTGTAAACTGCAGATTGACAACTTGGTGAGGAAGGACCTTGCTCATGGCTCTATACAGCTTTTCGTGGCTCTGTCGAGAACCGGCCTTGACGAGCTCATCATACGTTGGGTATTTGCCGCTGTCTCCTCTCAGGATCACAACCTGGATGGGAGAGGCCTCATTGTGTAAATCCTGCAGCAGCGCCGTGTTGTGCGTCCGGCCAATTGTACGAGTCACAAAAAAGACCTTGCAATCGGAAAAGGTGAGGCCGTACTTTGCTTCGGTCGCCGTGTAAGTGTTGTTCAAGATGACGAGGATGGCACCGATCTTGGCGACGGCGAAGAAAACTGCGGCGTATTGCTCGCAGTTGCCAGCCATTATTCCGACACGGTCACCGACGCCAATGCCCATGTTGAGCAGAGATTGGGCCAAGGCCGAGCTCTGCTGGTTGAGTTCGTGATATGTCCATCGCGCGCCTGTCCACGGGATAACGAGGCACTCTTTGGTGCCATATTGGTAGGTTTGGAGCTCGAGCAGCTCGCCGAGAGTCAGGTCGACGAGAGGAGGATCAGATGGGCCGTGGAGCAGAGAAAGCTTCTGGGTAGGCGGCGCGGGATATGGCTGGATGGCTGTTGGTGTTGGAGCGTCCATGTTGGCAAGCTGAAGTCTTGATGGGCAGCTTGTAAGTGAGAAACTCTATAATTACAGCTTCCACGAAGATTTCACAGCCTACATACAGCATACAGAAATGAAGAGAAAACGAGCCTTCTACCTGCTAATTGACGCTTCTCCTACCTACGTAACCGAGGAACTGATGAATTGGTTGATCCAAGTCCAGCCCGTCTGTCACCTCTAGACCCACTGGAAATCCGGCTATTTGACGCCAAACAAAGCCTAGCAGCTCATGTACGAGTATACCATCACCAATATTAACCTAACAATACGCCAAGCTGAAAGGCACCTCTAGTTCTAGGAGAAGCTGGGCTCTCCCGCTCTTTTCGAGACAAGGCCCTCTCCCGCTGTCATGGCATCCGAGAATTGCCGAGAACAAGACCAAGGGCCAAGTTCCCTTGCGGCGTTTACGCGGCATCAAGACTGGAGTCATAGATCCAGTAATCAGATGATCTGATAAGATTTCATCATGGGAGGGCATCAGGAAGATCCACTTGCCTGGTGAAACCACCGTCTGTGCCCCGTTGACATACAGACATAGGTAGGTATACGAAGTACCGAAATCGGCCCTTGCATTTGCCGGCACAATGGAGAGAAGTGGGAGGGATATGAAAATTTTTCTTATCAGATCCTCCAGTTCATCTCCATAAAGCGGCCGTCGCTATGGCCAAAGTATCGGTACATGTGCGCGGACAGGGGAAGGGTGTGTACAAGTACAGTAGTTGCGATGGCCGATGTTTGCATGTGAAGGCCGCTACGAGTACTTTACCAAAAGAGGATGCTGGTATGGTTATTGCCAGTCGAGTAATTGATATGCATAATAGTATCCGCAGGATGAGGTGATTTTAACGTATAATTGCTCAAGTGCTGCTTGGCACTGCGCAATTCGTTTTGCTGAAGCAGGATCTGCCGTTGCAGACAGCTGTGTGTGTTCTCTTGTTGGCGAGTAATGTCTCATGCTTGCGTCCTTGCCCTCCATAGCAATTCCCCGTACAATTGCAATAGTGAAATGTTTCTCTGTCCTTGTTCTGCCAAAATACCGCGCATGTGCCTGTACGTAATTCGTTGGCCGTAGTGTTTGTGTTTGCATCGTGAACGACCCCATCTTCCGTATTCGCATCGACATTGCCAAAATACATCATCGCAGGTACATACATGTACGAGTTTTTCTCTCCTCCTCCACCTTTGGCTGCACAATTTCCCTCCTCCATCCAACTCTCCACTCTCCTCCCAAGCTTCGGCGCAAAACACCAATCAATTGTCGAGATGGAGAAAAAAGTTATCAGATCGTCCCAGGGCTAATTGCGCTCCACTTGGCATCCTGGAGCTCCCCCACCCGTTTTTATCTGATCCGTCCGTTAGGCCCCGACAACGAAAAAGGTTCCTTCGACGTACCACCAAGTTCTCTGCAAGAAAAAAAAAAAAAAAAAAAAAACCACCCCCCTCGTTGCATCTTGAATGGGGTCAAAGATCCTTGTCAAGCGCAGAACGATAGCCGCACCCCTCACTTTGGAATCTGCACGAAGCTTCACGCTGCAATGTCGAAGCTTGGGGCAACTGCTGCCGTCACATCAATGGAGATGGAGATGGAGTCAACCTACGATGATTTACCCGAAGGAGTGCAGCAACGATGTACTCGTACGAGTATTGGCTTGAATGACTGGGAATGATGTGTGCACCTGCTTTAGCTCCGAGGCGGCGCGGCGCGGGCATCGTCGGAGGCGGGAAGTGATAGCATTTAGATGGCGAAGAGAGGCATTTGCTTGTGCTTGTGTCCTAGGACTCTCGAAGCTAGAAGCCAAGCTTGAGCAGCGAATATTCACGCTTTTTCTTACGTCGCCAAACGATCAGAGCTCTGCCTTCACCATTGATGTAAACCCCACGATATCGTCTATTCACGCCTCAACAAATCAGCCGCAATGGCCATCGATGGAGATGGAAATGGCTATACCAGTTCAGCCAAGCTCCCACCTCCTTCAAATCTCGCAATAGGCGTGAGTGCGAGCCCTGAAGAGTTGAAGAAGTCGACGGCCGAGCAACAAAATGGGGTATCAACCAGAGAGAACGGCATCGCCAGCACTGTCGACCTCGAACAGCTGTGGGCGTGGAATCAGCATGTGCCTTCCTATCTACAGCGCTGCATGCACGAAATCATAACAGAAAAGTCTCAACAGCAGCCGGATAAAATTGCGGTTGAGTCATGGGACGGAAGCTTGACGTACCAAGAGCTAGACAGCCTTTCATCACAACTTGCCAGGCAGATTCTGCAGAGGAATGCGGGAGCCGGTAGCAGAATTCCGCTATGCTTTGAAAAGTCAATGTGGACTGTCGTCGCCGTCCTGGCAGTCATGAAAGCCGGTGCCACATTCTCCCTCACAGATCCGAGCCAGCCAGTTGCACGACTACAAACAATAGTCGAGCAAACAGGGGCGAACCTCGTCATCACTTCCGTGGCTCAGAGCGGGTTAGGCAAAGATATATCTAGAGAGGGAGGCCAAGTTCTCGCCATATCTCGAGACTATTTCGATGGAATCAAAGAGTCCGAGTTGAAGCAAGACTTACCGCAGGTATCTGCAGAGACGCCAATGTACATCATTTTCACTTCTGGGAGCACAGGCAAGCCAAAAGGTGTTGTCATTACCCACTGCAATTATACCAGCGGTGCGGTTCCCAGAGCAGAGGCCGTTGGCTACAAATCCACTTCCCGCTGTTTCGATTTCCCCTCTTACGCCTTTGATGTAAGCATCGACTGCATGCTGTGTACGCTGGCAGCTGGAGGGCAAATATGCGTGCCATCGGAAGAAGGTAGGATGAACGATCTCAGCGGCGCCATTCGACAGAGTAAAGCCAACATGGTTCACATGACTCCTTCTGTCGCCAGAGTCTTGGAT